TCTAATCTGTTCTGCAGATGGAACCCCTCAGTTCCATCTGCAGAACCAGAGTCAGAGAATGTGTTGTCACTGCACCCACAGGGGGCGCTGTGCAGGTTCAGGTCCCAGGAGAAGGCAGATGGCCACAGAACCAGATGCTGGCTCGGCACATTCTCGGCCACATCTCTTCACCTTCATCAGAGCAGCAGGTTATTTCCAGCCCTGGATTAATCACACGCAGCGGTCGCTGATAGATCGGGGTCAAAGCGACGCTCGGCCGTTTGAGGACGCGGCCCGAGGTCAGAGACGGCGTCACGCTTTCATAACAATCTGTGTTTTTCATTATTGCACTTTCTACACTGCAAAAAATGACAAAAAATATGAGGTAATATTTGTTAGAATCGGGTGGTTTTTGTCTTAATCTGACACATTCTGGGTCTTATTTCAAGAACTGTGGTTTTATCTCCTCATTCCAAGAGAGACATTTCTGTATATTTTAAAAACACGATCATTTTGTTTTGTCCCATTGGAGAATCTGGTTTTAAGACTCAGTCAGAATGTGCCAGATTAAGTCACATTTGAGCAATTTTTTACGTGTTTTCCATCTCTTTTTGCAGTGTACAGGACTTGTTTTGTGTAGCTGCTTGTGCTAAAGGTGGAATATAGAACCAAAGGTAGAGCTTTGGCGTTTGAGCCTGGAGGTTGTGGGTTCGAGCCCCCAGCCATACCTTCCCTTCTCGACTCCACTGATGTCTGCTGACGTTGTGTCCTTGGGCAAGACACTTCTTCTTCTTCTTCCCTGTCCCAGAGCCTCCAATGAATGAGAGGTTTATGTGAAGCCAAGTCGCTCAATTCAGTTCAATGATTTCGTGTCTCGCCCTTTAATCTCAGCGGTCGTCTGGGAGAATCTTACAAAATTGTCGATTCATGTTTTTGATCTTTTTGGTTTTGTTTATTGTGACTCACTGTGGCCTCAGCGTTTTACGAAGTCTTTAAATCAGAACTCTCCAGACTCAAAGAGAAGTCAGACCCTTTTGCTACATAACTATCACACGTTTGTAGCTTTAGGGCCACTTTCCCGTCTTTTCTACAGTGACAGGAAGTGCATCATGTGACCAGCGCTAACGGCTAATGTGGAGCGGCGTCTGCGGCCGTGACCTGCGGTGGAACCAGCAAACACAGAACATGACACGCGAGGAACCAGTGGAACCAGCAAACACAGAAGTCTAATCTCCGGCTCAGAAAGACGACCTCCATCATCGCTTCAGTGGCGGCCGGGATACAGTCAGAAACGACGTTTGAAATGGCGTCTGAAGAGGCGAGGTCAGGCCGCTCTCACGTCCCACTCGAGCCTGAGTGCTAATTACAGCGGCGGCTGAGGGCTGCTCTTAAGAAGTCATTATGGACAAAGTGATAAGAAACCACACTTAAACTCTGCTGCTGAGTGCGGAGGTGGAGGAATCTGAAGCCTCCTCAAATCACGGAATGTGTGGCTTTGCATAGAGCTGGAAACATGCACTAAGAATCTAGTTTTTATTCTATTATATCAAACCTCAGATATTTGTTCTTATTAAAGAAAAGCTTCACTTCAGAGCAGGTCCCATGAGGAGACTCAATATTATAGCATTTATTGTAATTACTATAAACCTCTCATTTCCCTCTAACTGTGGTAAATGTATGTATTTGGTTTATGTTTATGTGAACAGCAGCGAGAGCAGACGGAGAAACGAGGGATTGTGTTTGTGTGATCAGTGCAGGTTCATGGACTTAGTATTTTCATAGTGCGGCAGCTCAAACTCTGGCATCATCACCGCAGTAACTTGCAGCATTGATATTAAGGGGAGACTATGGCATGTTATACTTCATTTTAAATGGTCTCAGGAAACGACCATATCATTGTATCTGTTCTAAAATGTGACCTAAAAAGTAGCTGTGAGTCTGTTTAGCTAACAGTCTTCCAATACATCAGATCTTGATGTTTGGCTCAGTTGTGGTTGAATCCAAACCTACTAGAAATTAATATCCAAACTTCTGTCAAATTCACTTTTATACTTTGCGCCCCAACCAGCTCTTATGTTTTTGAATTTGGCCGCGACCAAAATGAGTTTGACCTTCTGCTTGAAGTCATCAAAAATGCTTGTCCCCTTTATGCATAGTAAACCAACAAGCGTGTGTGTGTGTGTGTGTCTGTGTGTGCGTGCGTGTGTGTCTCTGTGGGGACAGATATGCTCACACATTATCAGCATAATGTCAAAGATCACATGACTTCTCTGGCCGTACATCAGCACACTGCATGTTTATCTGTTTGTTCACACTTGACGTTAGGGCCTCAGGGAGGGGCCCCGGCCACACAGCTGTTGCAGAAGCAGCGTCCGAGCCATAGGCCCGTGCACGCCTTTGGTTTGTGTGAATCTGAAGAATGCGAGGTTAACAATGCGCGCTTACAAATAGACCGCGGCCGCGTTCTGAATTAAAGCCTTGTCAACACCGACACTTATTCCATGCAGCTCTGAGTCAGCGAGGCCCCGGCGTGAGGTGTCAGTGTCTGCTCTGATCCACGTCATAAATATCAACTTATTAAATGTGTCATGGAGGGGAGGGGAGGGGAGGGGAGGGGGGGGGGGGGGGGGGGGGGCAGGCAGTCAGAGCACCAGCCCCTCACTGATCCTCCTACAGGTGCTGAGTCCACAGAAGCCTTGATCTTTCAGTGGGGGCTTCAGGCAAAGTGGGGTTAAGGGTCTTGCCCAAGGACACAACGACAGCAGTCATCAGTGGGAGCCGTGAAGTAGGTCTTGTGGTGGGCTCGAACCCACGACCTTCAGGCTCTAAGAGCCACTGTCGCCCCATACAACATGCAAATAATGTAAAAAAAACGCTGTGAGTAATGAAGACGTTTGAAGGATGTTTTTGCTAAATCATTCTTGTGGTATTTTTGTATTAAGACCAGGACTGAGGCTGTAGATCCAGGACTGAGGCAGTGTAGACCCAGGACTGAGGCTGTAGACCCAGGACTGAGGCTGTAGACCCAGGACTGAGGCTGTAGACCCAGGACTGAGGCTGTAGACCCAGGACTGAGGCTGTAGATCCAGGACTGAGGCTGTAGATCCAGGACTGAGGCAGTGTAGACCCAGGACTGAGGTTGTAGACCCAGGACTGAGGCTGTAGACCCAGGACTGAGGCTGTAGACCCAGGACTGAGGCTGTAGATCCAGGACTGAGGCTGTAGACCCAGGACTGAGGCTGTAGACCCAGGACTGAGGCTGTAGATCCAGGACTGAGGCTGTAGATCCAGGACTGAGGCAGTGTAGACCCAGGACTGAGGCTGTAGACCCAGGACTGAGGCTGTAGATCCAGGACTGAGGCTGTAGATCCAGGACTGAGGCAGTGTAGACCCAGGACTGAGGCTGTAGACCCAGGACTGAGGCTGTCGCAGGTCGCCCTCTCAGTGAGTGACACAAGCTGCTGTGTCAGAACGACCCGCCGTTTAACCCGCCTCGTGACCTACTTGAACCCAAATATAGCGGTTATTTAGACAGCAATAAACCCAAACTGTTTTACGGCCGCTGTTTTGAAGTCCAGGTGAAGGAGGTGAAACAAGTCCTCACAGAGTCACAGGACACAATTCTGGGATTTCATATGACGTCAGGGCAGTGGCGCGAATAACAAACGTAGGACAGGACGGAGATATAGTAGAAGAAGAAGCTCTGTCAAAATGCCATCTTTTTGTGCGTTGTACGTTTGTAGCAACCGCACACATGAGAGAAAGACAAGAGTTTGTTCATGTTCCAACTGTGGTCTCATATAAAGGAAGACACTTTGACAAAAATCACTGGAATGAGGCGGGCGAGGTGGATTAAGGCTTTCCCAGATAAGCGCCTCCTGCAGGCCACCCCAATGAAACGCAGCAATTTCTTCTGTATTTTTTTCCCAAAAATGCCCAAAATCAAGACTCTTTTGAGAAATATTTTTCAGTACTCCCTTAGAATGGAGTGTCCCCGATTAAGACTGGTCCTGGTCTCTGCGCGCTGAGGAGGAGGTGTAGGGGTGTTGCTGGTCTCCTGTTACCGGCGTCTGGCAGCTGATGCTAGCCGCTGATTCAAGCAGATGATGCTAGCAGCTAATAGAGAGCTGCCTGTAGCTGTCTGCTGCGCTCCACATTCCACTCAGCAGCTGTCAGTCGCTCCACAACCTCTGATTAATGACCTCCACTGAGCCTCACCTTCTCACCGTGCAGAGTGAAACCAGGTCAGCGCGGCTCCGCAACGCCACCGCAACGCCACCGTCTGAGCTCAAAACGCCACCGTCTGAGCTCAGAACGCCACCGTCTGAGCTCAGAACGCCACCGTGACCGTCTGAGCTCAAAACGCCACCGTCTGAGCTCAAAACGCCACCGTCTGTGTACATGCGTGTGCAGAGGAGTGTGTGTACTTGCGTGTGTGTACATGCGTGTGCGGAGGAGTGTGTGTACATGCGTGTGCAGAGGAGTGTGTGTACATGCGTGTGTGTACATGCGTGTGCGGAGGAGTGTGTGTACATGCGTGTGCAGAGGAGTGTGTGTACTTGCGTGTGTGTACATGCGTGTGCGGAGGAGTGTGTGTACATGCGTGTGCAGAGGAGTGTGTGTACTTGCGTGTGTGTACATGCGTGTGCGGAGGAGTGTGTGTACATGCGTGTGCAGAGGAGTGTGTGTACTTGCGTGTGTGTACATGCGTGTGCGGAGGAGTGTGTGTACATGCGTATGCGGAAGAGTGTGTGTACATGCGTGTGCAGAGGAGTGTGTGTACTTGCGTGTGTGTACATGCGTGTGCGGAGGAGTGTGTGTACATGCGTGTGCAGAGGAGTGTGTGTACTTGCGTGTGTGTACATGCGTGTGCAGAGGAGTGTGTGTACTTGCGTGTGTGTACATGCGTGTGCGGAGGAGTGTGTGTACATGCGTGTGCAGAGGAGTGTGTGTACTTGCGTGTGTGTACATGCGTGTGCGGAGGAGTGTGTGTACATGCGTGTGCAGAGGAGTGTGTGTACTTGCGTGTGTGTACATGCGTGTGCGGAGGAGTGTGTGTACATGCGTGTGCAGAGGAGTGTGTGTACTTGCGTGTGTGTACATGCGTGTGCGGAGGAGTGTGTGTACATGCGTATGCGGAAGAGTGTGTGTACATGCGTGTGCAGAGGAGTGTGTGTACTTGCGTGTGTGTACATGCGTGTGCGGAGGAGTGTGTGTACATGCGTGTGCAGAGGAGTGTGTGTACTTGCGTGTGTGTACATGCGTGTGCGGAGGAGTGTGTGTACATGCGTGTGCGGAGGAGTGTGTGTACATGCGTGTGCGGAGGAGTGTGTGTACATGCGTGTGCGGAGGAGTGTGTGTACATGCGTGTGCGGAGGAGTGTGTGTACATGCGTGTGTGGAGGAGTGTGTGTACATGCGTGTGCGGAGGAGTGTGTGTACATGCGTGTGCAGAGGAGTGTGTGTACTTGCGTGTGTGTACATGCGTGTGCGGAGGAGTGTGTGTACATGCGTGTGCAGAGGAGTGTGTGTACTTGCGTGTGTGTACATGCGTGTGCGGAGGAGTGTGTGTACATGCGTGTGCGGAGGAGTGTGTGTACATGCGTGTGCAGAGGAGTGTGTGTACTTGCGTGTGTGTACATGCGTGTGCGGAGGAGTGTGTGTACATGCGTGTGCAGAGGAGTGTGTGTACTTGCGTGTGTGTACATGCGTGTGCGGAGGAGTGTGTGTACATGCGTGTGCGGAGGAGTGTGTGTACATGCGTGTGCGGAGGAGTGTGTGTACATGCGTGTGTGGAGGAGTGTGTGTACATGCGTGTGTGGAGGAGTGTGTGTACTTGCGTGTGCGGAGGAGTGTGTGTACATGCGTGTGCGGAGGAGTGTGTGTACATGCGTGTGCGGAGGAGTGTGTGTACATGCGTGTGCGGAGGAGTGTGTGTACATGCGTGTGCGGAGGAGTGTGTGTACTTGCGTGTGCGGAGGAGTGTGTGTACATGCGTGTGTGGAAGAGTGTGTGTACATGCGTGTGTGGAGGAGTGTGTGTACTTGCGTGTGCGGAGGAGTGTGTGTACATGCGTGTGTGGAGGAGTGTGTGTACATGCGTGTGTGGAGGAGTGTGTGTACTTGCGTGTGCGGAGGAGTGTGTGTACTTGCGTGTGCGGAGGAGTGTCTGTACTTGCGTGTGCGGAGGAGTGTGTGTACTTGCGTGTGCGGAGGAGTGTGTGTACATGCGTGTGCGGAAGAGTGTGTGTGTACATGCGTGTGTGGAGGAGTGTGTGTACATGCGTGTGTGGAGGAGTGTGTGTACATGCGTGTGTGGAGGAGTGTGTGTACATGTGTGTGTGGAGGAGTGTGTGTACATGCGTGTGTGGAGGAGTGTGTGTACATGCGTGTGCGGAGGAGTGTGTGTACATGCGTGTGCGGAGGAGTGTGTGTACATGCGTGTGCGGAGGAGTGTGTGTACATGCGTGTGCGGAGGAGTGTGTGTACATGCGTGTGCGGAGGAGTGTGTGTACTTGCGTGTGCGGAGGAGTGTGTGTACATGCGTGTGTAGAGGAGTGTGTGTACATGCGTGTGTGGAGGAGTGTGTGTACTTGCGTGTGCGGAGGAGTGTGTGTACATGCGTGTGTGGAGGAGTGTGTGTACATGCATGTGTGGAGGAGTGTGTGTACTTGCGTGTGCGGAGGAGTGTGTGTACTTGTGTGTGCGGAGGAGTGTGTGTACTTGCGTGTGCGGAGGAGTGTGTGTACATGCGTGTGCAGAGGAGTGTGTGTACTTGCGTGTGTGTACATGCGTGTGCGGAGGAGTGTGTGTACATGCGTGTGCAGAGGAGTGTGTGTACTTGCGTGTGTGTACATGCGTGTGCGGAGGAGTGTGTGTACATGCGTGTGCAGAGGAGTGTGTGTACTTGCGTGTGTGTACATGCGTGTGCGGAGGAGTGTGTGTACATGCGTGTGCGGAGGAGTGTGTGTACATGCGTGTGCAGAGGAGTGTGTGTACTTGCGTGTGTGTACATGCGTGTGCGGAGGAGTGTGTGTACATGCGTGTGCAGAGGAGTGTGTGTACTTGCGTGTGTGTACATGCGTGTGCGGAGGAGTGTGTGTACATGCGTGTGCGGAGGAGTGTGTGTACATGCGTGTGCGGAGGAGTGTGTGTACATGCGTGTGCGGAGGAGTGTGTGTACATGCGATGTGTGGAGGAGTGTGTGTACATGCGTGTGTGGAGGAGTGTGTGTACTTGCGTGTGCGGAGGAGTGTGTGTACATGCGTGTGCGGAGGAGTGTGTGTACATGCGTGTGCGGAGGAGTGTGTGTACATGCGTGTGCGGAGGAGTGTGTGTACTTGCGTGTGCGGAGGAGTGTGTGTACATGCGTGTGTGGAGGAGTGTGTGTACATGCGTGTGCGGAGGAGTGTGTGTACATGCGTGTGTGGAGGAGTGTGTGTACATGCGTGTGTGGAGGAGTGTGTGTACTTGCGTGTGCGGAGGAGTGTGTGTACTTGCGTGTGCGGAGGAGTGTGTGTACATGCGTGTGTGGAAGAGTGTGTGTACATGCGTGTGTGAAGGAGTGTGTGTACATGCGTGTGTGGAGGAGTGTGTGTACATGCGTGTGTGGAGGAGTGTGTGTACATGCGTGTGCGGAGGAGTGTGTGTACATGCGTGTGCGGAGGAGTGTGTGTACATGCGTGTGCGGAGGAGTGTGTGTACATGCGTGTGCGGTCTGAGAGGACTGTGTGTGTACATGCGTGTGCGGTCTGAGAGGACTGTGTGTGTGATCGTAAACACGGCGGTGACAGAGGAGGCTTTTGTTTTGCAGGTTTGTGGGAGGGGCAGCTGCTAAATCACTCACCTTTCCTGCCGCAGGCGAAGGCACTGGCCCCGCCCCCAGGCACTGGCCCCGCCCCCCGAACCCACGCTGCAAAAATTGATGACAAATAAGACAAAAATGGCTCATATTTGGCACATTTGAAATGAGCCTTAAAACAAGATTCTCCAACGGGACAAAGCAAAATGATCTTGTTTTATAAAGATACAGAAATGTCTTTGGAATGAGAAAAGAAAGCAACAGTTCTTGAAATAAAACTAAACGACTTTGTCTCATTTGATTTACGACAGTCACAATGTGTCAGAATAAGAAAAAAACACTCGATTCAAGCATTTATTACCTCATATTTCATGTTTTGCAATGCAGGCTCCTCTCAGGCTCTGGCCCCGCCCCCAGGCCCCTCTGACCCCGCCCTCAGACGCTGGCCCCGCCCCCAGGCCCCTCTCAGGTTCACAGTGATAACGTTAAAGCTGGTTTTGCTGCTGCTCTCACGGTTTCGTCTTACAGGCTGACAGCGCCGCCTTAGATTAGATTACATCATCACAGATTACATTGGTCTGTCCTGATAATCCAGAGGCACAGAGAAATGTCAGTGTTGCATCATCAGTTACAGAGCGGTCGATACACAAAGATAAATGACCTCAAAACTTTAAAACATCCGATAAAATCAAACTTTAGCAAAATACAGAATAAATGTGGGACACAGAGACACAGGCCGGTTACTCCTCATTGTACAGTCTGACAGCAGCAGGAAGGAAAGACCTGCGGAACCTCTCTCTCTCTCCTCTCTTCTCTTTCTCCTCTCCTTTCTCTCTCTCTCCCCCCCTCTCTCTTTCTCTCTCTCTCCCCCCTCTCTCTTTCTCTCTCTCTCCCCCCTCTCTCTTTCTCCTCTCTCTCCCCCCCTCTCTTTCGTCTCTCTCCTTTCTCTCTCTCTCCCCCCCTCTCTCTCTTCTCTCTCTCCCCCCCCCCCTCTCTCTTTCTCTCTCTCTCCCCCTTTCTCTTTCTCTCTCTCTCCCCTCTCTCTTTCTCTCTCTCTCCCCCCTCTCTCTTTCTCTCTCTCTCCCCCCCTCTCTCTTTCTCCTCTCTCTCCCCCCCTCTCTTTCGTCTCACTCCTTTCTCTCTCTCTCCCCCCCTCTCTCTTTCTCTCTCTCTCCTCCCCTCTCTCTTTCTCTCTCTCTCCCCCCTCTTCTTTCTCTCTCTCTCCCCCCCTCTTTCTTTCTCTCTCTCTCCCCCCTCTTCTCTTTCTCCTCTCTCTCCCCCCCTCTCTTTCTCTCTCTCTCCCCCCCCTCTCTCTTCTCTCTCCCCCCTCTTTCTCTCTCTCTCTCCCCCCTCTCTCTTTCTCCTCTCTCTCCCCCCCTCTCTTTCGTCTCTCTCCTTTCTCTCTCTCCACACATGACACAGTGGCTGAGTGGTTAGCAATCTCGTTTCTCAGCAAGGTCCCGGGTTCAATTCCTCCTCCAGGCCTTTCTGTGTGGAGTTTGAATGTTCTCCCCGTGTGTGCCCAGGTTTCCTCCGGCTGCTCCGGTTTCCCCTACCACTAAAAACATGCAGGTCTGAATGTAGTAAGAGAATGGAGGGTGTTTGGTCGGAGGCTTTGATGGACCAGTGTGTTCTGGTCTCGCTTCTGGCATCACCGTGTGGAGGGAACGGATCAATATCTGAACTTTGACCTTTGTAAAAATCTCTAACTTTAGCCTCATCTGCTTTTCAGTTAAATGTCACTAAAACTGTCTTTGTTAGTTTATGTTTAGAATAGAGCTTGTCAAACCTCTCCCTCTCGACCCTGAATCTCTAACTTCCTGGAGTTCACTCAGAGCTCTGACTAGAGCTGCTGATCCACAGATAAAGCCCTTTAGCTCAATAGCCACAGAGACCTCAGAGCTGCTGCTCCAGAACCTTCCGGACTGAGCTCGTTGTAATTAGCTTCATTCATTAACTGCGGTCATTATGTGCTAAGTGCTAGCATTAGCTTCTCCTGTTGTCAGCGGATCACAAAGAGCTGACGAGGCATGAGGACTACACTGTTTACAAAGGTACGAAGAATGTCGAGATCACAGGGACAGGACAGAGACAGGACAGGGACAGGACAGGGACAGGACAGAGGTATCACAGGGACAGGACAGAGACAGGACAGGGACAGGACAGAGGTATCACAGGGACAGGACAGAGACAGGACAGGGACAGGACAGAGACAGGACAGGGACAGGACAGAGACAGGACAGGGACAGGACAGAGGTATCACAGGGACAGGACAGAGGCATCACAGGGACAGGACAGAGGCATCACAGGTACAGGACAGAGACAGGACAGGACAGAGGTATCACAGGGACAGGACAAAGACAGGACAGGACAGGGACAGGACAGGGGCATCACAGGGACAGGACAGGGGCATCACAGGGACAGGACAGAGGTATCACAGGGACAGGACAAAGGCATCACAGAGGCATCACAGGGACAGGAAAGGGACAGGACAGAGGCATCACAGGGACAGGAAAGGGACAGGACAGAGGTATCACAGGGACAGGACAGCGACAGGACAAAGGCATCACAGGGACAGGACAGAGGCATCACAGGGACAGGACAGAGGTATCACAGGGACAGGACAGAGGCATCACAGAGACAGAACAGGGACAGGACAGAGGTATCACAGGGACAGGACAGAGGCATCACAGAGACAGGACAGAGGCATCACAGAGACAGGACAGAGGCATCACAGGGACAGGACAGAGGCATCACAGGGACAGGACAGAGGTATCACAGGGACAGGACAGAGGCATCACAGGGACAGGACAGAGGCATCACAGGGACAGGACAGAGGCATCACAGAGACAGGACAGAGGCACCACAGAGACAGGACAGAGGCATCACAGGGACAGGACAGAGGCATCACAGAGACAGGACAGAGGCATCACAGAGACAGGACAGAGGCATCACAGGGACAGGACAGAGGCATCACAGGGACAGGACAGAGGCATCACAGGGACAGGACAGAGGCATCACAGGGACAGGACAGAGGTATCACAGGGACAGGACAGAGGCATCACAGGGACAGGACAGAGGCATCACAGGGACATGACAGGGACAGGACAGAGGCATCACAGGGACATGACAGGAACAGGACAGAGGCATCACAGAGACAGAACAGGGACAGGACAGAGGCATCACAGGGACAGGACAGAGGCATCACAGAGACAGGACAGAGGCATCACAGGGACAGGACAGAGGCATCACAGAGACAGGACAGAGGCATCACAGAGACAGGACAGAGGCATCACAGGGACAGGACAGAGGCATCACAGAGACAGGACAGAGGCATCACAGAGACAGGACAGAGGCATCACAGGGACAGGACAGAGGCATCACAGGGACAGGACAGAGGCATCACAGAGACAGGACAGAGGCATCACAGGGACAGGACAGAGGTATCACAGGGACAGGACAGAGGCATCACAGGGACAGGACAGAGGCATCACAGGGACATGACAGGGACAGGACAGAGGTATCACAGGGACAGGACAGAGGTATCACAGGGACAATAAATTAATAACACCTCTAACTTTAGCATAATAAAGAAGCAAGTATATTCTATTGCAATAATATATAGTTGTATGTTTACATCCGTACAGACTGCTGCTAATGCTAATGCTATTGCTGTGATTGCAACTAAAGAAAGCTTTGAATAACAATAAAATGAGTCAGATTCACCGCTTTAGACCTTTTCACATGTAGGCCATGTCCCAAACTGAGCCATTGTGTGCTCAGGCCACCAGGGGGCAGTAGGGGGCACAGGTTATTTGCTGCTGTGTGTGCTCTGCTAATATTGACTCAGCCACTATAGAGTCCACATCAGCTGTTTGAATGTCACTGAGAAAACAAAGACAAGAAAAGGGACTAAGAAAAGAATAGAATCCACTGTTTCGCTGCCACAGATTTTAATTTATGCAAACACACATTTGTAGACTTTATGGAGTTTTACACCTGCTTCTTTATTATGCTAAAGCTAGAGATTTTATACTAGCTTCTTTATTATACTAAAGCTAGAGATTTTAGACTTGCTTTCTGTGTGGAGCTTGAATGTTGTCCTGCGTCTACATAAGTTTCCTCCAGGTGATCCGGTTTCCCCTACCACTAAATCCCCATCCCCACTCCCTGCAAAAATGAAGGTCAATAATAATACAGATAAATGTGTGTTCTTTCCTTCTTCTTTGCTAAAATCACTATGTATTGATTCCTATTGGATTCTTGTGTTTGACTGATGCCCAGACAATCCTGGTTTATTTCCTTTATCTCCCTCTGGGACCAAAACCTTATGAGTGAATGAATACGCCCTCTGATTGGCCCCTGCTTCAGAGGTCTTCTCCCATTGGCTGTCTCCTGGGTGGGTGAAGAAAGGAACGCAGCTGAGAGACTGTGCTGCCACCTAGTGTTTGAAATGAACTGGTGACAATATAATTAGACTGGATTCATCTTTATGCGTTGGTAAAATGTCTTTTTAGTAGTTGCCCTTGACAATAAAACATCTAAAACCATGTACAAGGACAAGTCTGGGAATTAGAATTCCCAAAACAAAATTAACTTTAATTAAATTTCTAATAAAATGTTTATTTTCTATGTTTTATGCAGCACTTCACATCATTCTCTCACTGCAAACACGGTGGTGATAAAATCCTACTGTAGCCAGCTGCCCTGGGGCACACTGACAGAAGCGAGGCAACCAATCTGTGCCATCAGCCCCTCCCACCACCACCAACCATTCACACACACACCAGACTCATTCTAATGTGGGGGAAGTGTCTTGCCTAAGGACATAATGACAGTTTGGCACTTTACAGCCACAGCCGCCCCACTGTGGCACCTGCTGTTTCAAGAGGTCTCCCATCACAGTATTAACCAGGCCCTGCCTTGTATAGCTTCAGAGGTCTGACAGGATCTGCAGCTATGGCATTTTCTCAGTTTCTCCTGAACATCTGCTTCCTCTGTTCTAACTAACAATGCTCATGCTAATAACAGAACCTGCTATTCCTTCTATAATATACAGTCTGTGGTTTATAACAGACTGTATATCAAACTAAAGTCCAAGGACGATACGAACGAAACACATTTTGAGCCAAAGTTTTATGTGAAAGTGATATAAAAATAAATGGCATAATGTGAGAAACATGATTGAAGCGACAGCACGGAGTCATGATGAGGCAGTAACTTACAAACAGCAGATATTTCACACACAGCTTTGGTCTTCGCCCTATGTACATTCTGCATAATATAAACGTGACTCTGTTTTAAATATGAAATAAGCAACGTAATAAAAACCCATAAAGACTATTGCACAAAGCCAGCGCTGGAGTGGAGTTGGAGACACGGAGACCTCACGGCTTTCTGCGTCTGGAAACAGAGAGAGATCAGACTCGGAGTCGAGGAAACGAGAAAAGGCAGAGATAGAAGAGTAGTACTTGGTGATGGCGTTGTGTGTGTATCCAGGGCCCAGGGAGGATCCTACTCTCATCTCCACTCCCACCGCACACTGCAACGGCAGACATTCATCACAAGGTTCGTTTGTTCATAACTACAGCGTGTACAACTACAGCGTGTACGTACAACTACAGCGTGTACGTACAACTACAGCGTGTACGTACAACTACAGCGTGTACGTACAACTACAGCGTGTACGTACAACTACAGCGTGTACAACTACAGCGTGTACGTACAACTACAGCGTGTACGTACAACTACAGCGTGTACAACTACAGCGTGTACAACTACAGCGTGTACAACTACAGCGTGTACAACTACAGCGTGTACAACTACAGCGTGTACAACTACAGCGTGTACAACTACAGCGTGTACAACTACAGCGTGTACAACTACAGCGTGTACGTACAACTACAGCGTGTACGTACAACTACAGCGTGTACGTACAACTACAGCGTGTACGTACAACTACAGCGTGTACAACTACAGCGTGTACAACTACAGCGTGTACAACTACAGCGTGTACAACTACAGCGTGTACAACTACAGCGTGTACAACTACAGCGTGTACGTACAACTACAGCGTGTACGTACAACTACAGCGTGTACAACTACAGCGTGTACGTACAACTACAGCGTGTACGTACAACTACAGCGTGTACAACTACAGCGTGTACAACTACAGCGTGTACAACTACAGCGTGTACGTACAACTACAGCGTGTACGTACAACTACAGCGTGTACGTACAACTACAGCGTGTACAACTACAGCGTGTACAACTACAGCGTGTACGTACAACTACAGCGTGTACGTACAACTACAGCGTGTACAACTACAGCGTGTACAACTACAGCGTGTACAACTACAGCGTGTACAACTACAGCGTGTACAACTACAGCGTGTACGTACGACTACAGCGTGTACGTACAACTAGGCCTCTCCCTCTCTGGCCTCTCCCCCTCTGGCCTCTCCCCCTCTGGCCTCTCCCCCTCTGGCCTCTCCCCCTCTGGCCTCTCCCTCTGGGCCTCTCCCTCTCTGGCCTCTCCCTCTCTGGCCTCTCCCTCTCTGGCCTCTCCCTCTCTGGCCTCTCCCTCTCTGGCCTCTCCCTCTCTGGCCTCTCCCTCTCTGGCCTCTCCCTCTCTGGCCTCTCCCTCTCTGGCCTCTCCCTCTCTGGCCTCTCCCTCTCTGGCCTCTCCCTCTCTGGCCTCTCCCTCTCTGGCCTCTCCCTCTCTGGCCTCTCCCTCTCTGGCCTCTCCCTCTCTGGCCTCTCCCTCTCTGGCCTCTCCCTCTCTGGCCTCTCCCTCTCTGGCCTCTCCCCTGCTCTGGCCTCTCCCCCTCTGGCCTCTCCCCCTCTGGCCTCTCCCTCTCTGGCCTCTCCCCCTCTGGCCTCTCCCCCTCTGGCCTCTCCCCCTCTCTGGCCTCTCCCTCTCTGGCCTCTCCCTCTCTGGCCTCTCCCTCTCTGGCCTCTCCCTCTCTGGCCTCTCCCTCTCTGGCCTCTCCCTCTCTGGCCTCTCCCTCTCTGGCCTCTCCCTCTCTGGCCTCTCCCTCTCTGGCCTCTCCCTCTCTGGCCTCTCCCTCTCTGGCCTCTCCCTCTCTGGCCTCTCCCTCTCTGGCCTCTCCCTCTCTGGCCTCTCCCTCTCTGGCCTCTCCCTCTCTGGCCTCTCCCTCTCTGGCCTCTCCCTCTCTGGCCTCTCCCTCTCTGGCCTCTCCCTCTCTGGCCTCTCCCTCTCTGGCCTCTCCCTCTCTGGCCTCTCCCTCTCTGGCCTCTCCCTCTCTGGCCTCTCCCTCTCTGGCCTCTCCCTCTCTGGCCTCTCCCTCTCTGGCCTCTCTCCGATTTGGGTGCTTACTCTGTTCTCGACATCGGTCCAGGATCCGTCTGATTCTTTGTTTGTGGGAGCAGCTCCTTCAGAAGACTTTCTCTTGCGACTGAAAACATCAAACAAAAGTTAAGTGGGTGTGTCACGAATCGTCCAATCAGAAGCTGAGAACGGGGGGAAGAAGAGACCTGGGCGCCGTGGCGAGCTCCTGTCGCAGAGTTTCAAAGTCCGTGAACTGCACGGCCTGACCCCCACTCCTGGTTTTGATGACCTCGCCCTGGAAACAAAACGTTATATTAATATCTGTGGTTAAGGAGCCCGGGTTCTATTCCACCTCCTGTTCTCCCGGTAGGTTTCCTCCAGGTGCACCGGTTTCCCCTACTGCTAAAAACATGTACGATAGTCCCCCGCAAAACACCATCTGGTGTCGTCCCTCTCTGGTACCTCTCTGGTACCTTCCTGGTACCTCTCTGGTACCCGGCCTCCCTCTGGCCTCCCTCCCGCCTCCCTCCCTCCCTTTTCTCCCTCTGGTCTCTGGTCAGACCTTGATGAGTTGGGTCTGTATCTCTCCGTCTGAAGCCACTTCCTGGTGCGTGAGGACGTAGCGGTCACACTTGGCCAGAGTCTTCTCGTTGGGGGCGGAGACCTGGATGGCGTTGGGGATCACGGGCTGCATGATCGTGCCCAGGTCCATGTTGGAGGTGGGTTTGTGGTCCACCCACTTCTCTGCTCCGGCCGAGCGCGAGCGGCGATGCAGCGGCCGCACGGGAGTCGAACTCTGAGGGAAACAGTTTGTGTGTCAGAGTCTGTGTCGACCAAAAATCTACCTCATGGTTTTATCTCACATGGTTTTAGGCTTTGTGCCTTCAAAACACACACACACACACGTACAGGCAGAGATGGCGAGGCCGATCTCTTGGTCCTCTCCGGTCCTCTCTTGTCTTCTCTGGACGGTCTGACCGGTGTTTGTCTCGGTGGAGGCTCCGGTCGTCCTGGAGTCTTTGTTTCCGTGACGATTGCTTTGAGCTGCTTCAGTTTCTCATCTTTGACCCAGAGTTTGTTCTGCATCTCCAGCTGCATGGCATTCACCCTCCGCACCTGCAGACACACACTTGTTAAGACACACACACACGTTGGACACAATGACATCAGACACTGTTGCGTCACTCACACACTCCTTCTCCCACTTGTGCTGCGTGTCAGACACTGCTCCCTGCATGCGCTGCTCCATGCGCCTCTTCTCCACTTGCTCGCGTGTCAGCCGCTGCTCCCTGGTCTCCAGCTCCTGCTGCAGCGACCGTTTGTCGTCTTCATAAACTTTGGTGGTTTTCTGAAGGATGTCGATCTAAAAGAGGAGGAAGAGTCCCTTTACTGCTGCGTGTGTCACGGATGTTTCTGGGATGTTTCTGGGAAGTTAAGCTGGGACACTTTGGGAATATTAAATAACTGGGATTTAATTGTAAAGTTATTAAATTGTATCATTTGCACATAAAAAGAAAACATCCAGGCAAAGTGTTTCCTACAGATCTATCCCCATAATATCAAAGCTCATTCTGCTACATTATTATATGACTTGGACCGTACGCGCGCTCTGATTGGCTGATTACCGGTCTGATATTTTCCCATTTCGGACCGTTACCATGACAATCAGTCCGCAGCACGTATCACAATTGATTTCTTTCCTGAGTTTAGTTGGTAAAAAAGAAATAATGGGCGACAACTGGGAGCATTCTCTCAGTGAATTCTATTATCCGGACGAGTTTGACGAGAAATTACAGAAAATAACGAAGAAAAAATAACTAACAGACAAGATGAGATTGACAACTTCGTTGCAGACCAGAAAGCTAAAAACACGATTAGGAAAACCAAGTCGGAGATCGATATTTGCATAAATTAAAAACAGTCATATGATAAAACATTTAATAACCTTGCCCTCGGCTAATAAGCCGTTAATATACGTTTCTATTTCTAACCCTTGTGCAATCCTCGGGGCATTTACTATTTAAAAGAAGAAGAAGAATACCCAAACTCAGGGTCTAAAAGACTCGGGGCTGGTCAGGTTAGGAACATTATTTAGTGTATTCTTTAATCACTGAAGTGGCTCAATTTGACCAGATGAAAACTCAAGTTCCCGATGAAGTCTTCAATGAGAACAATTCCTGTTAATTCCCATAGAAAGTTTCCATCTTAACATGTATGAACGGCATGAAAAGGTCAGAGCTGTACCTTGTGCTCCTGGGTCTTGGCCTTCTTCTCCAGCCTCTCGATCTCCGCCCGGTTGCTCTCGATGATCCGATCTTTCTCCAACAGTTTTCCGTTCTGTTCGTGGATAAATTTGTCTTTGGACGCTCGGCTGTTGTCCCAGTCGTGGAGGAGCGTCTTCATGATTCCAGCTGAAACACACACACACAGGTTCATACAGATCCATAAAGAGCTGTTGAAAAGCTCAGAGTTGGTGTGAAGACCTGCGTGGCTGAACTGCAGCACCATGTCCTGCCGCAGCTGCTGTCGCTGCTGCAGAGCGTCGATGAGTCTCGGTAAAGTGATGTCATCGTGAGGATCAGAGAGGACGCAGGCGGGAAGAGGCGGGAGAGCGGCGACCACGGCCAGGACCGACGACAGGTCTGAGGGATACAAACACACGCTCAACACTTTAAACTCAGACTCCCTCTGGACGAGACCAGGTTTAAACAAGAACTACAGGGACTAAAGTATCAAAGGGATTTCTGTCTTTTATGTCAGTGATTGTTGAGCCTTGGGAAATGATCCAACGTAACAAAGAAGATTAGACAGATTTGATATAAAAGACCCTAACTTCAGATGACATGTTGCGTATTAAAACAGATGCAGTTATCTGGTTTTCCTGAAAGAGTAAGGTTTAAAATGAAGAATAACATGCCATAGTCTCCCATTACCATCAACGCTGCGAGTTTATACTGATCATTGAAAATCTGTTTATGGACTTTGGTGTTTTTATCTTTGCCTTTCCTGTGTTTGAACCGTTTCTCTGATCTGTGTCCTCAGATAATCTACTGTTGTGATTTAGGGCGAAACAAAATCAAATTAAATTTTATGGCAACAGGTTTCAGCTTTGTCTGCAAAAAATGACTGACACATTGTGACTGTGTTAAAGATTCTCTAACGGGACAAAAACATTATTTCAAAAACCGTGGCTTTATTTCCTCATTCCAAAAGAGAAATTTCTGTATCTTTTTGTTTTGTCCCGTTGGAGAATCTAGTTTAAGGCTCAGTCAGAGTGTGTCAGATTGAGACACATTTCACGTTATTTTTAGTGACATGTTGTTGTGTAGCTGTTGTACCGGTGTGTGCGTCCGTGGGTCCTCCGCGCTCCAGGAGTCTCCGCGACAGCTCCTCCTTAAAGGCCACGTTCCGGTTGCGTCGTCCTGGAGTGAAGCCATAGATGGGTCTGTCGATGGGCCGCGCCACCTCCACCTCCTGCGTCATCTCTGCAAACCGCATCACCAGCTACACACACACACACACAGAGACACACGCGCACAGAGACCCACGCGCACAGAGACACAGACACACGCGCACAGAGACGCATACGCACACACACACACACACACAGACACAGACACGCGCACAGAGACACATACGCAGACACACACACACGTACACACAGACACACACACAAACACACACAGAGACACAGACCCACGCGCACAGAGATACAGACACACGCGCACAGAGACACACACGCACAGAGACACACACACACACAGAGACACAGACCCACGCGCACAGAGACACATACGCAGAGACACACACACGTACACAGAGACACACACGCACACACACATACACACACACACACACACACAGAGAGACACATATACACACACATGCGCACAGAGACACACACACGCGCACAGAGACACATACGCAGAGACACACACACGTACACACACACACACAGAGACACACACAGTTTACACGACACATGCAGCAGTGGGAAAAGTGATACACTTTTGATAAAACATGGTCAGATTTTAAATACGTATCAAGCTAACTTGGAGCTAATGCTAACCTGTAAACAGTGCTCCGCCGAGCCTTTAATTGTGGCTTGTTTTTTTATTTTTTGAGAGATAAAGGAGGAACAATGCATATTAAAGAACATTTAACAAATGTTTTAATAAGACAGAAAATAGCCGTGATGACCCAAACGCTATCGGAAGGTACTCTTCATAATCATAATAAATAATACCATAAATAATAGGTATGAATGAAAAGGTAACCCCACTACATCATGTTATTTTGGACAGAAAAAAGGGACACGATCCAATGTGAAGCTGCAGTGAGTGTAAAGTGTAGATGGAGCTGATGAACAGGTGATAAACCATGATACATCTATGTATTTCCATGGGAATAGTGGTTCTATATTTTCTTTCTGATGCATAATAAGATTAAAAACACGGCCCTGCACCTTTCTCATCTCCCCGTCATATAGAAACTTCAGGACATGAGTTCACAGCTGATTCCGACTGCTCACTGGGTTTTTTGTCTAGACTAAAATTGGCCCAAAACAACACCAAAAAAGCCATTAAAGAAGAAGTCTGCGATCTCCGTACCGTACCATACAACCGGCACGTGTTTGTTTGTTTGTATCCGTGGGCAAAATTCTCGCACATCTGCTTTCCTTCCCTATACCAACATCATTTAGCATCACTGAAACTGAAGACTCAAAGCTATTGGTTCTAAATGCAGCCTTTCTCTCCACCTCAGATGACACAGATTCCTAAAGTTTTACCAGTGTTTCTTCGTAGTCTCCGGCTTTAGGGTTGACGCAGACGACCATCTTGACCTTTCCTTCTCCATCAAAGTAGTTCTTGAACAGATGAGTGACTTTGGAGTCTCTGTATGGAACCATCTGCAGCAAAAGGCAAAACAAATGAGTCCATATATAAAAACTAGAGTTAGAGTCCGTTGGGAAAGCTGGTTCTGGTTGTAATGCCCTGAGTTGCCCTGTGCTATACCAATAAATCTGTCTCATCTGCCTTCCCTCGGGTCGTACCTTGTTGGTGCCACAGAGCTGGTTCTCTCGCAGGACTTCGATGCACGTCCTGAGGGTCAGCAGAGACTGGTTTATGTTTCCTGTGCAGAGGAGAGAGAGGGTCAGAGAGAGAGAGAGAGACAGAAGGGGGAGAGAGAGGCAGAGGGGGGGAGAGAGAGGCAGAGGGGGGGAGAGAGGCAGAGGGGGGGGGGGGGGGGGGGGGGAGAAAGAGGGGGGGAGAGAGAGACAGTCAGAGAGCGAGTGTCAGAGAAGAGAGTGAGACAGAGGGGGGGGAGAAAGAGAGAGGCAGAGAAGAGAGAGAGGCAGAGGGGGGGAGAGAGGCAGAGAGGGGGAGAGAGGCAGAGGGGGGGAGAGAGGCAGAGGGGGGGAGAGAGGCAGAGGGGGGGCAGAGAGGCAGAGGGGAGAGAGAGGCAGAGGGGGGGAGAGAGATCCTGCAGATGTCTGAGTTGGTGTGAAGACCTGCTTCTCTGATGCGTGTTCCTTCTGCTCCCGTCCTCATGGTCCTCTCACTTCCCGCCAGATCAACCAGACACAGCTGACTCAGAGTCACCTGGTTTTTATCCTGAACCAGTAAAAACATTAAAATAAACAACAATAAAACCAGGAAATGAACCTGAGACAGACAAATGAAAGAGAGACAGACAGACAAAGAGACAGATTGACCAGAGATCAGAGAGAGAGGGGGTCAGAGGGGGGAGAGAGAGAGGAGAGAGAGAGAGTCAGAGTCAGAGAGAGTCAGAGAGAGAGAGTCAGAGTGAGTCAGAGAGAGAGAGTCAGAGTGAGTCAGAGAGAGAGAGTCAGAGTGAGTCAGAGAGAGAGAGTCAGAGTGAGTCAGAGTCAGAGAGAGTCAGAGAGAGAGAGAGAGACAGAGTCAGAGAGAGAGAGTCAGAGTGAGTGTCAGAGAGAGAGAGTCAGAGAGAGAGAGTCAGAGTGAGTCAGAGAGAGAGAGTCAGAGTCAGAGAGAGAGAGTCAGAGTCAGAGAGAGAGAGTCAGAGTCAGAGAGAGAGAGTCAGAGTCAGAGAGAGAGAGTCAGAGAGAGAGAGTCAGAGTGAGTCAGAGAGAGAGAGTCAGAGTCAGAGAGAGTCAGAGAGAGTCAGAGAGAGTCAGAGAGAGTCAGAGAGAGAGTCAGAGTGAGTCAGAGAGAGAGAGTCAGAGAGAGAGAGTCAGAGAGAGTCAGAGTCAGAGAGAGTCAGAGTCAGAGAGAGTCAGAGAGAGAGTCAGAGTGAGTCAGAGAGAGAGAGTCAGAGAGAGTCAGAGAGAGAGAGTCAGAGAGAGAGAGAGTCAGAGAGAGAGAGTCAGAGAGAGAGTCAGAGAGAGTCAGAGTGAGTCAGAGAGAGAGTCAGAGTGAGTCAGAGAGAGAGAGTCAGAGAGAGAGAGTCAGAGTGAGTCAGAGAGAGAGAGTCAGAGTCAGAGAGAGTCAGAGAGAGAGTCAGAGTGAGTCAGAGAGAGAGAGTCAGAGAGAGTCAGAGAGAGAGAGTCAGAGAGAGTCAGAGAGAGAGAGTCAGAGAGAGAGTCAGAGAGAGTCAGAGTGAGTCAGAGTCAGAGAGAGAGAGAGTCAGAGAGAGAGAGAGTCAGAGAGAGAGTCAGAGAGAGAGAGTCAGAGTCAGAGAGAGAGAGTCAGAGTCAGAGAGAGAGAGAGAGAGTCGTAGAGAGACAGAGAGTCAGAGAGAGAGAGAGAGAGCAAGAGCGGGTCAGAGAGAGAGAGAGAGAGACAGACCAGAAAGAGAGAGAAAGTTGTGACCTGCAGGATGTTGTCTCCGTCTGCGTCGAGAGGAGCCTGAGCCAGTTTGATGATGAAGACGCTGTGAGAGCGACTGGACTCTCGGTTCAGACGAGTGTTGGCCACTTTCCTCCTCTTCTGACCTGAGACACAGAACCCCGCGGTGAGACTAAGGTTCAGCCATTATCCCTGCAGCTCTACAACAGCAGGACATATACCAATAAAGTATCTATCCATAATCTATATCATCTATCTGTACCTAAAACCTAGACTCAGGACCATGGAGAGCTGTGGCCTGGTCATGTTCTGCCCCGTAGGTCTCTATGTCATTGTATCATCTGTGTTGGTGAATCGACAGCTTTGTGAAGTCCTCGGAGATAAACTACTGCTCTTTACAAAAATATATTGAATAGAATTGAAATATGTTCCACTCGGTTCATTATCATTTATAAAAATAGTATTTATTAGTCATTCAAGTCCTCAAAGTGTTTAAATATGTTGGCATTTGTAAATCTGATAGCTGCTAGTCTCCAAGAATAAGTATTAGTTCTTGTGTGGGATCTATCGTCTAACAGAGAACCTGACAGAGAACCTGACAGCTTTCACAAAGGTCGGATTCTGTGCTGATTTTAGAGTCTCTTGTCGTCCTGAACTTTTTTCTTCTTTAAATCCAATTTGCTGCCACAAACTGCTATTTTTCTCCCCGCTCTGGTCATGAGAGCCACACTAGCCTATTTGGCACAAAGCATCATGGGAGCTTGTCCACTGCACAGAACCAGGAGGACCAGACAATGCCAGAATATCGGGCGAGTTCTGCTAATCCCCCGGTCCCTGTGTGTGTCCCATGCACAACTGAGCACAAGCCAATCATTTGAATAGGACGCCATCTTGGATCCACCGTGGCGCCCGGTCCCATTTCAGATTTGGATCATCTCTGTATAAATGTATCGGAGTGAGCTGCTCAGAGAGAAGATTCTTTAGTCATGTCCCGGCCAGAGTCAACCGCGAGGTCGACAATGCCAGGTCAGATCCACCAATCATCACCACAGTCACTCTGTTCGACGAACACAGTCAGTCTGTACGACGACCACACTGACTCCAGGACGTACCTTTCCAGAACACCTGGAAGGCCTCCTCCGCTGACCGCACCTCCAGCTCCAAACATCCAGCCACGTACATGTTGTGGTTGAAGTCTTCCCTCAGCAGCTTGGACTGTGGAGGTCTGAGAAAAGACAGGATTTTACAGTAACGAAGGAAACGGAGATAAAGGATCTACAGCTCAGGGGCCTCTCCCACCCTCTGGTCTCCCCCCACCCTCCGGTCTCTCTCCCCCACTCTCCGGTCTCTCTCCCCCACTCTCCGGTCTCTCTCCCCCACCCTCCGGTCTCTCTCCCCCCCACTCTCCGGTCTCTCTCCCCCCCACTCTCCGGTCTCTCTCCCCCACTCTCCGGTCTCTCTCCCCCACTCTCTGGTCTCTCTCCCCCACTCTCTGGTCTCTCTCCCCCACTCTCTGGTCTCTCTCCCCCACTCTCTGGTCTCTCTCCCCCACTCTCTGGTCTCTCTCCCCCACTCTCTGGTCTCTCTCCCCCACTCTCTGGTCTCTCTCCCCCACTCTCTGTCATCTCTGTCACAGATTTAAAAAAAGGTTGGAGACCACTGCTATAGTTTCATACATTACTGTTGCTATAGAGACGCCATGCAACTAGACACAGCAGGAAGTGGAAGCAAATCTACAACAACCTTTTAGCTAAATGCAACTAAACTTTAGCTTAGAGCTTGATAAGCACTTTTTTGAGAGAGACCAGAGAGAGATGAGAGACAAGAGAGACCAAAGAGACGAGACCAGCAAGAGACAAGAGAGACAAGATAGAGGCCAGAGAGAGAGAGACCAGAGAGAGACAAGAGACAGAACAGAGAGACCAGAGAGAGACCAGAGTCAGTCAGTAAATGCACATAAGGGGTGAAAGGTGGGGTAGGGGTGTGGTTAAATATCTAGCATAAGTTTAAAAGGCAGCCAAGACTAGCAATGCATTAGGATGGATGACCACAAGGAGGCGCTACAGGCCACATACATGAACTCAGTGTTCTGGCGCACAGGGGTGCCTCCAGCATTCCACCTGAGGAAATAGGAAATCTGTGACTCTTTGGTGCTTACACGCTCTCTTTGCTGAATAAGTGAGAGTATATGATGCACTGACTTTGGTTTGATCAGGTCCTCGGCGGAGTCTTCCAGAAGGTCGTAGATGTAGTTGTTGTAGATCTCGATGTAGGAGACGAACACGGAGTAGGCGCAGTCTTCGTCCACGGCCTCGGCTTTGTAGGACTCCTCCCCCGAGATCATGTCGGCGATCTCAGGGTCTGTCTTCTGTCTGCACCAGAGAGTAAGAGAGCAGAGATAGAGAGAGAGCAGAGAGAGCAGAGAGAGAGACCAGAGAGATAGAGAGAGAGCAGAGAGAGAGAACAGAGGGGGACCAGAGAGAGAGAGAGAGAGAGAGCGAGAGAGAGACAAGTGAGAGAGCAGAGAAAGAACCGAGAGAGAGACCAGGGAGAGAGAACAGAGAGAGACAAGTGAGAGAGCAGAGAAAGAACCGAGAGAGAGCAAAGAGAGAGACCAGAGAGAGCAAAGAGAGAGACCAGAGAGAGACCAGGGAGAGAGAACAGAGAGAGAGAGACCAGAGATTATTAACACCAGTGTTATTCTACAGTAAGACAGCGTTGATGGTAAACTCTGACCTTGAGGTTGGTTTTGCTGCGTTCAGAGAATGGTCTCGTTTTTGTCGCTCCAATAAAGCATCAACCTCGGTCTGGACCTCCATCCCGTTTTTATCATCACTTTTAAAAACCTAAACAAGTAGAATGAACATTATTCAATCAGGGGCAGGACAAGTCCAAAGGGTTTGGGTAAAGCAGAAGAAGTGCATAGATTAGTCACATGTCTCGGTCTCTCTCTCTGATCACGCTTTCTTTGGTCTCTCTCATTCTTAATGCAATCTCTTTTTTAAACCACATACTTGTTATTTGTCTGTTATAGTGATACTGTGCATGAAGATATGTGTTGTTAGCCCCCACTGAAAGATCTCAGCTCCTGTGGACTCAACACCTGCAGAGGGTCAGTGAGGGGCTGGTGCTCTGTGAACTGGGTCTGACTGCCACCCCCCTGACCCAGAAATGGATTAAGGGGAAGAAAATGGAAGGATAGTTGGATATGTGTGTAGGTTAAAAACACTGTAATTTTACTTTTTTCTAAGTTTACTTGAACCCTGTGGCTAATGTGTATTTATATTGTGGTAGAGTTTATGGACTTATTATTTGACATCCAGTTTTAGTCGCTACACATTCACACAGAAGGTGAATGAGCCTAGACACACACACACACACACACATACAGACAAACACACACACACACATACAGACACACACACACACACATACATACAGAAACACACACACACAGACATACAGAAACACACACACACATACATACAGAAACACACACGCATACACAGACAGACACACACACATACATACAGAAACACACACACACACAGACATACAGAAACACACACAGACAGACACAGACACACACATGTTACTCACATATCTTTTAGCCTGATACGGTCCAATACTATTAAAGATCATGTCGAGGGAGCGGGGCAGTAAGCCGCCTAGACCCGGGGACCCGGTCATGGTGAAGGTTTTTCCGCTGCCAGTGACTCCGTACGTGAAGAGCAGACCTGAGGAAACCAGACCAGAACCAGAACCTTTACAAAGTCCTACATTAGTGGAGGTTACGCAGATCCATACACACCATTCTTTCCCCCGATCAGATCCTCCACCAGAGGTTTGGCCACATACTCAAAGAGCTCTTTCTGAGACACAGACACTCCAAAGACTTTTTTAAAGGAATACTGGGTCTGGAGAACAAGCAAGATTTTAGATTAGTCAAAAAACATTTCTATGATATTAATACCATTCAAAAAACATCCAAGCAGTTCTTAAACCATGTAACAGAATGGCAGAAACTAATTTACTTACAAGATGGATTTTATATACGTTTATATTGATATTTGATTGATATATTTGAACCATATTTGCCAAAGATGAAGCAGCTTCAGAAAAGGATGATTGTGTATTCTTGCTGACTGCGGATAAAAAAGTGCTGAGTATGTTTTCTGTGTGATTGAGTCCTGACGCTGTTCTAACGTTTACAATTATTGACCATAGAGGGTTTTGATCCCAGGGCGGGAAGTTTCAATGTTGCAGGACAGTAAGAGAAACAGGGAGCACACAAAATATCCAGAGATAAACAGCAGCTCTGTTTCTTAACTAGCAGTAAATGCTTCACAAGGGCAGCAAGTAAATATGAATAGACGTACAGCAACAGATAAGGGAACAATAACTCAATACGAGAATAAAATAAAATGTATAACTTTTGCATATAAAAGAAGAAAGAATGAAGTATAAAATCTCTATATGTCTGTATAGATGGAGAGATACAGTATAGTCAGTGTAAATGATGTACATATAGGGCAGGATAATAAGTAGATACAGTGACATACAGGACATTCTACATTTGCAGTATTGTCCATAATAATGAGAGACCAGAGAGAGAGAACAGAGACCAGTGAGAGAGAACAGAGAGAGACCAGAGACCAGAGAGAGAGGACAGAGACCAGAGAGAGAGAACAGAGAGACCAGAGAGAGACCAGAGACCAGAGAGAGAGGACAGAGAGAGATCAGAGAAAGAACAGAGAGAGACCAGAGATTGCAGTATTTACAGATCACAAACGTACAGTACCTCTTTGAACTCTCCATTCCTGTTGACTTTGAAGCCCTCTGGAGCATGGAGCTGGATGGTGGAGCTGCTGATGGCCTCGATGCAGCACTCCTGGTCCTCTGCCCCCAGGGGTCGCACTCTGCAGTACACCTGGGCCAAAGAAAAAGCATTAACACATCACGAAGGAATTCTGTGGCTTCAGATACAGGCGTGGAACTTACCCCGACTGGGTCCTTCTGTGTGTTTGAAGGCTTTTTCTGATGCCTTCGGGGAGTTTTAGGTTTTCTGAAAGAATGTAAGAGTAATTATTGAACACTTGACTTGGATTATGCTTAATAATTCTGACACATACACCAACATCTTTGGTGTATTGAATGTTTTGGGATTTTTTTCTTATTGTAAACATCTTTTAAAATATGTGACCTAATGTCTAATGTCCATTATGAGCATTAAAAAATAAACTACTACTACTACCACAGAGCTGCTAGCATAAGAAGCTAACAAAGCGAACAGCTGATCAAGGTTTCAGACACGCTAACACAATGCTAACTCACGGCTAGCTAACCCGCGGCTAACTAAATGCAGAGGGCGATAAAGATACTATTAAATCATACATATTTGGCTAATTAGATCAATAACGACAGGATATGCTTACATGTGTCTGTTCATCCTGGCTCCTCTCTCCTCGGGTCGTCTGTTTGAAACTTCCCTCCTCCTGGACGTAGATTTGAAAACGCGGTCCCTGCAGCCAATGGGAGGCCGCAGACACTGGTCACGTGTTTGTACTTCGCCAAAACAGGAAGTCTATCTATGGTCCAGAGCCGTTTTCACAATACATCTGTTTTAGGTTCATAATACATGATGGGGACAATGCAGCTCATTTTAGATTATGGATTAACACGAGCTCACAGTGATTTATATAATCTTTGTCTCTGTGTAGTTTATTTATTTATCTTTATTGGTTACTCTCTCTAGTCTTTCTTGTCTCTCTTTGGTCTCTCTGTCTGGTCTCTCTCTCTCTGGTCTCTCCCTCTCTTTGGTCTCTCTTTCTGGTCTCTCTCTAGTCTCTGTTCTCTCTCTCTGGTCTATCTCTCTGGTTTCTTTCTCTAATCTCTCTGGTCTCTCTGGTCTCGCTCTCCAGCTTCTCTCTAGTCTCTGGTCATTCTCTCTTGCCTCTCAGTACCATAGACTTTATACAGAACAGTCAATTTGACTTATTTTCATTTTGTGTGTATGACTTTGCTAATGTACGTTTTTGGTCTTCAAAACTTTGTGACTTTATGTATTTTATATTTATGTTGTATGGACTCCCCCCTGGACTGCCACCTTAACGTGGTGGGGGAGTTTGAGTACTCGGATGATCCTGGGAGCTATGCTGTCTGGGGCTTCATGCCCCTGGTAGGGCCTCCCATGGCAGACAGGTCTCGGGTGACGAGTCAGACAAAGAGCAGTCCAGAAGACACCATGGACAGCACTCAAAAGAAATCAGTGACGTCGCCCGGCATGGCGCAGCCGGGGCCCCACCCTGGAGCCAGGCCTGGGGTCGGGGCTCGTAGGCGAGCGCCTGGTGGCCGGGCCTTAGCCCACGGGGCCCGGCCGGGCTTAGCCCGAATGGACGACGTGGGCAGTCCCTCCTGTGGGCCCACCACCCGCAGAGGGGTCCGTGGTGGCGAAACGGTGCAGAGAGGACTGGGCAGCGGTCGAAGGCGGAGACCTCGACGACCCAGTCCGCACACACAACAGCTGGCTCTTGGGACGTGGAACGTCACCTCACTGGGGGGGAAGGAGCCCGAGCTCGTGGGGGAGGTTGAGCGATACCGACTAGAGATAGTCGGCCTCACCTCCACACACAGCTTGGGCTCTGGAACCCAACTCCTTGAGAGGGGTTGGACGCTCCACTTTTCTGGTGTTTCCCGCGGGGAGAGGCGGCGAGCTGGGGTGGCCATTCTCATTGCCCCCCATCTCAGCCGCCACGTGTTGGAGTTCTCCCCGGTGAATGAGAGGGTCGCGTCCCTCCGCCTCCGGGTGGGGGATAAGTCTCTCACTGTTGTGACGGCCTACGGGCCTAACAGCAGTGCAGAGTACCCGGCCTTCTTGGAGTCCTTGGGAGGGGTACTGGACGGTGCACCGCCCGGGGACTCCGTTATTCTCCTGGGGGACTTCAACGCCCATGTGGGAAACGCCAGTGACACTTGGAGAGGGGTGATCGGGAAGAGCGGCCCCCCTGATCTGAACCCGAGCGGTGTTCAGTTGTTAGACTTCTGTGCCAGTCACAGTTTGTCCATCACGAACACCATGTTCGAGCACAAGGGTGTCCACCAGTGCACGTGGCACCAGGACACCCTAGGCCGGAGGTCGATGATCGACTTTGTTGTCGTATCATCTGACCTTCGACCGCGTGTCTCGGACACTCGGGTAAAGAGAGGGGCGGAGCTGTCAACCGATCATCACCTGGTCGTGAGTTGGATCCGCTGGCAGGGGAAGAAGCCGGTCAGACCTGGCAGACCCAAGCGTATAGTGAGGGTCTGCTGGGAACGTCTCGCTGAGCCCCCTGTCAGACGGACTTTCAACTCACACCTCCGGGAGAGTTTCTCCCAGGTCCCGGTGGAGGAGGGGGACATGGAGTCCGAGTGGACCATGTTCTCTGCCTCAATCGCCGATGCGGCGGCTCATAGCTGTGGTCGCAAGGTCTCTGGTGCTGGTCCCGGCGGCAACCCCCGAACCCGGTGGTGGACACCGGCAGTAAGGGATGCTGTCAGGCTGAAGAAGGAGTCCTATCGAGCCATGATGGTTCGGGGGACTCCTGAGGCAGCTGTCCAGTACCGGCAGGCCAAGCGTGCCGCGGCCCGGGCTGTTGCAGAGGCAAAAACCCGGGACTGGGAGGAGTTCGGAGAGTCCATGGAGCATGACTATCGGTCGGCCTCAAAGAAATTCTGGCAAACCGTCCGGCGCCTCAGGAGGGGGAAGCAGTTCTTTGCCAACACCATGTACGGTGCGGGTGGAGAGCTGCTGACCTCGACTGGGGATATTGTCGGGCGGTGGAAGGAATACTTTGAGGTTCTCCTCAATCCCCCCGTCACGTCCTCTGTTTCAGAGGCAGAGGCTGAGGATGTTGGGGCGGATACATCCATCTCCCTGGCTGAGGTCACCAAGGTGGTTGGTAGCCTCCATGGTGGCAAGGCTCCGGGTGTGGATGAGATCCGCCCTGATTATCTAAAGTCTCTGGATGTTGTAGGACTGTCTTGGCTGACACGTCTCTGCAACATCGCGTGGCGATCGGGGGCGGTGCCAATGGAGTGGCAGACCGGGGTGGTGGTCCCTCTCTACAAGAAGGGGGACCGGAGGGTGTGTTCCAATTATCGTGGGATCACACTCCTCAGCCTCCCCGGTAAGGTCTACTCCAAGGTACTGGAGAGGAGGCTACGGCCGATGGTCGAATCTCGGATCCAGGAGGAGCAGTGTGGTTTTCGTCCCGGTCGCGGAACACTGGACCAGCTCTATACTCTCCATCGGATACTCGAGGGTTCATGGGAGTTCGCCCAACCTGTCCACATGTGCTTTGTGGATTTGGAGAAGGCGTTCGACTGTGTTCCCCGGGGTGTCCTTTGGGGGGTTCTCCGGGAGTACGGGGTCGGGGGTCCTCTGCTGAGGGCCATCCGGTCCCTGTATGACCGGAGCCAGAGCTGTGTTCGCATTGCCGGCAGTAAGTCAGACCTGTTCCCGGTGAATGTTGGCCTCCGACAGGGCTGCCCTTTGTCACCGGTTCTGTTCACTGTAATTATGGACAGAATATCTAGGCGCAGCCAGGGGTCGGAGGGGGTCCGGTTCGGGGACCACAGGATTTCATCTCTGCTGTTTGCGGACGATGTTGTCCTGTTGGCTCCAACGAACCAGGACCTGCAGCATGCACTGGGACGGTTTGCAGCCGAGTGTGAAGCGGCTGGGATGAGAATCAGCACCTCCAAATCTGAGGCCATGGTGCTCGACCGGAAAAAGGTGCCCTGCCCTCTTCAGGTGGGTGGAGAGGTCCTTCCTCAAGTGGAGGAGTTCAAGTATCTCGGGGTCTTGTTCACGAGTGAGGGAAGAATGGAGCGTGAGATTGACAGGCGGATCGGTGCAGCGTGCGCAGTGATGCGGTCGCTGTATCGGACTGTTGTGGTAAAGAAGGAGCTGAGCCGAAAGGCAAAGCTCTCGATTTACCGGTCAATCTTCGTTCCCTCCCTCACCTATGGTCATGAGCTTTGGGTAATGACCGAAAGAACGAGATCGCGGATACAAGCGGTCGAAATGAGCTTCCTCCGCAGAGTGGGCTGGGCGCTCCCTTAGAGATAGGGTGAGGAGCTCAGTCACACGGGAGGAGCTCGGAGTAGAGCCGCTGCTTCTCCACGTCGAGAGGAACCAGTTGAGGTGGCTCGGGCATCTGTTCCGGATGCCTCCTGGACGCCTCCCTGGGGAGGTGTTCCGGGCACGTCCCACCGGGAGGAGGCCCCGCGGAAGACCTAGGACACGCTGGAGGGACTATGTCTCTCAGCTGGCCTGGGAACGCCTTGGGGTCCCCCCGGACGAGCTGGAGGAAGTGTGTGTGGATAGGGAAGTCTGGGCGTCTCTGCTTAGACTGCTGCCCCCGCGACCCGGCAACGGATAAAGCGGAAGAAAATGGATGGATGGATGGATGTTGTATGGAATGGCTAGAATTTAGAGGGCGACAGTAGCTCAGTTGGTAGAGCATTGGCCTTGAGGCCAGAAGATCGTGGGTTCAATTCCTCTGCAACACCTCTGCACCTTCTCCACCGACTCCCACTGATGACTGCTGTCGTTGTGTCCTTGGGCAAGACACTTAACCCCACTTTGCCCAAAGCCCCCACTGAAAGATCAAGGCTATGCTCACACTCAGAGAGCAGCCGTCCTCCTGTGGACTCACCACCTGCAGAGGGTCAGTGAGGGGTTGGTGCTATGAGACTTGGGTGGCATCTCTGACTGCCACCCCCCTGACCCAGAAATGGATTAAAGGGTAGAAAATGGATGGATGAATGGCTAGAATTTAGAATGTCTCTATTTCTTTAATATCAACTAGTTTTAGCATGTACTAGAGATAAAATAATAATAATAATTCCATGAATTTGAGGGTGAGCCGTCAAAATGACTGCTCTGGAAGTTTTAGTAGTTTCAGAAATCTGAGAGTCCTGGTGTTAAAAGTCTAATTTTGTTCTACTCTTTTTGTACAATCACAACATGGCCGCCACTAGCCTCTTTGATCCCTGTTTATCCAAATTGTAACTGTAACCCTGGCCCTTACATTAAGTGGATCAAAAGCATAATCAACCAAAGAATATTAAAAATAAGCTCCTTAAATAAAAGTATTTAATTCGGGTGTTTCCAACAGGATTTCCTAACGAGAGTGTGACCTCTAGCGGCCAAACTGCGACACAACCACGTGTGATTACAAAACAAGCACATTGACACCGACAGGAGCGATGCCAGCGGACTCTTTTCACTTTATACTTGTGCGAAAGTATTAGACACCGTGGAATATACGTGTAACCTCTTCTCTATCTGCTGCGTGAGTGTGGAGCAGGAAACATGAAAGTGCCTAAATCTGCGAAGCCCCAGGCACCTGAAGCAAAAACTAGTAAAGAAGCAAAAGGCAAGAAAACGGCCTCCAACAAACCGCGAGGGAAGAAGGATGTGGACAAGTCTCCTCCAGCTGCAGGTAAAGATCCCGAACTATTTTAACTGTGTATTTGTGGAAGTAGTGACATGTTGTGGGTTTGTGCAGAGGTGGCGTCCAAGTCCTGTGCGGCTCAGAAAAGACCTGGACCTCGTAATATCCTGCATTACCTTTACAAGAGCACCCTGGGACAGAGCCTGCACTCCCACCTCAGACAGGTAACAGTTATAATGTATCTATGGTAACGGCTGAGTCCAGACTAGAACCAGGAAGTACCATCACTTTAGTCCTGCTCTCAGGTCTCTGCTTCATGTGGCTCAGAGACTAGACTTTAAAGCATCTCCAAAGATACATCTGTGACATGTTAGTGCCATATTAATCTGAGGAGCACAGGGACTGGCCTCCTCCTGGGACTCTGAGGAGCACAGGGACCGGCCTCCTGCTGGGACTCTGAGGAGCACAGGGACCGGCCTCCTGCTGGGACTCTGAGGAGCACAGGGACTGGCCTCCTGCTGGGACTCTGAGGAGCACAGGGACTGGCCTCCTGCTGGGACTCTGAGGAGCACAGGGACTGGCCTCCTGCTGGTCCCAGAGTCAGGACTCAACATGAGGAGACAGTGTCTCAGATTAATGCAGCTCAAATCTCGAACAGTGATTGATTTGTGATTATTTATGATTCCAATGCCTTACTACTGCCTACTTTGTGTATAAACTGCACTTTATAAACTTGTCTTTTTAGTATCACTTCAACAATACTATCATGACAAAAATACTATTAGCATAACCAGAATGCTGAGCAGTGTTTTTCAACCTTTTTTTTAGCAAAGCCACACTTTTTTCATTGAAAAAAAAAAAATGAGTTAACAAGAGTTTGGAAATAAAGTGGCACTAACTGTGTAGAAAAAAAAACACATTAAATCCACTCGCAGCCCAAAAAGTCAAATAATGGCTCACAGGGCTCTTAAGTATGGCCTGTTGTGTGTTCTGTTTGATTTGTTTAAAACATTTTACTTTTGAGCACTTGCATTTTTTATGCATGAGGAACATTTAGGTATCAGCAGAGGCGTCCCTTGGCATTAGGCAAGGCAGCAGCTGCCTGGGGCCCCCGAGGGCCGACTGATTTGACACAAGCGGTCGACTTGTACAGGCTACAACAGTTACCTGCAGTGTCAAAACTTGCCTCGTTCTTCATTAACAGTTAAAACCCTGCCTGGTGTTAAATAAGTGTACTGTAGTATGTCATAGTGCTCTAGTGGGTAAGTCGCAGCGCTCGTGCCACAATGACCCGGGTTCGAATCTGACTGAGATCTATGTTTAGGGTTAAACTATACATTTTATATTCTATGACAGAATGCTGAAGAACGGTAAGAGGTAAAATCAAGTCATTTTTTGCAGATTAAAGCTAAGAGCCTAATCTTTCATTTAGGCTCTTCCATCGAATGAAAGATTAGATTTTGTAGGATTACAAAATCTGGTTATGTGGTTGGTATCGGGGCCCCCAAGGACTCTGTTGCCTGGGGCCCCGGGGTACCCTTGGAACGCCACTGGGTATCAGAGCTTTGGTCGCGCTTTGGGAGGACATGGGAAAGACACGGGTTGCCTCCAATTCCTACTTTTCAAAGTAATTAGCTCTCTGCTGCCACCTACTGATATGAAAAAGTATTACATGGTTACTCCACAGTTTATAGACCTTATGACGGGTTTAAAAAAAAAAAAATGTGGATATCAAAATTGCATGACAATGTCGATCTGAAAGAGATTCCGGCAAAAAAAATCCTATATTTTATAAAAAGAACGTGTTTTTCATGAATTTAAGTTGTCTATGCTCTAACCTGTGTGTGACGTCACAGCGGGTAACGCCCATGCATTGAAAACCATGGATCTATGCCACAGGACTGCCTTTTCTCTCTTCTCTCCACTGATGCCCAACACAATACTGCCCTCTACAGGTGACAATTGCTCACTACACATAAATTGCCGTTTTGAGAGTGAAAAAGTGTCTGAGGTGGGATTTGAACCCAGTATCTGGATCGGCAGTCCATCAACACAACCACTGGACTATCTCAGTGCTGACAGACTGTTATAATCTAGTATTTATGTCAGACTCGCTGTACACGGCCTTGTCATCTTGAATATCCGCGAAGAAAGAACGAATACCAAATTGTAAACAACTTACAGCGTTGAAACGTACCCACTCTGACGCCACCAAGGGCTGTGAAGTTTTTTCGTCTCTAAGGGCGTTGCTATGGGGTTATTTCGATTTTGGGGGGATCAGACAAAAAAAACAACAACTGATTTTGAAACCTTTAGTAGTTCTCTTCTAATATAAAATGGTATTAAAACTGTATTTCTAAATAAATCAAACCCGGCATAAGGTCTTTAAAACAAGTCAGCGCACGCCAACAGTCCATCCATCCATCCATTTTCTACCCTTTAATCCATTTCTGGGTCAGGGGGGTGGCAGTCAGAGATGCCACCCAAGTCTCATAGCACCAGCCCCTCACTGACCCTCTGCAGGTGGTGAGTCCACAGGAGGACGGCTGCTCTATGACTGTGAGCATAGCCTTGATCTTTCAGTGGGGGCTTTGGGCAAAGTGGGGTTAAGTGTCTTGCCCAAGGACACAACGACAGCAGTCATCAGTGGGAGTCAATGGAGAAGGTGCAGAGGTGGGTTCCCACGCCAACAGTGGGTGCAGTTATTTTTAGACAAAGTAATTTCTCACCTGACAATATCATCAAACACTGGTGTAGTGGACTTGTGTATAATAAAAACATCTTCCTGATCCAACCTTCTGTGTGGCAGTGTCTCCAGGAGCCGTTCATCCGTTCCTTTTCGTCGTTCCACTTCCACGGCGCAGACAGTCCGTTCGACCGCAGAGTCACATGTTTGGAGTGGCACCCCTCGCACCCCTCCAAGCTCGCCGTGGGCTCCAAGGGCGGGGACCTGTATCTGTGGGACTTTGAGGACAGGAAGAACGAAAGGAAGAGTTTTGTCCATGGGGTCAGTCCTGTTTTTGATTAAAGTCATGGTTTTAATACATGTTTATTTGTTTAGCACTTTTCAAAGCACTGCACAGGTAGAATAAACGAGAATAGCCCCAAAAAAAACGGTTATGAAACTACAAAGTCAAAATAATGATTCAAAGGAAAGGCGCAGTGGTCTCTCTCTGACCTCTCTCTGGTCTCTCTCTGTCTCTCTCTCTGGTCTCTCTCTGGTCTCTCTCTGACCTCTCTCTGGTCTCTCTCTGTCTCTCTCTCTGGTCTCTCTCTGGTCTCTCTCTCTGGTCTCTCTCTGGCCTCTCTCTGGTCTCTCTCTGGTCTCTCTCTGGTCTCTCTCTGGTCTCTCTCTGGTCTCTCTCTGGTCTCTCTCTGGTCTCTCTCTGGTCTCTCTCTGGTCTCTCTCTGACCTCTCTCTATGGTCTCGCTCTCGCTCCGCTCTCTCTCTCTGGTCTCTCTCTGGTCTCGCTTTCTCTGGTGTCTCTCTGGTCTTCTCTCTGGTCTCTCTCTGGTCTCTCTCTGGTCTCTCTCTGGTCTCTCTCTGGTCTTCTTTCTGGTCTCTCTCTGGTCTTCTCTCTGGTCTCTCTCTGGTCTCTCTCTGGTCTCTCTCTGGTCTCTCTCTGGTCTCTCTCTGGTCTCTCTCTTCTCATATCTCCTCATGTTTCTTGTGTTTATTAGTTTATTTCTGGTGTTTTTGGACAGAAGGGAGCGGGAGACTCCATTGGTGGGATGAAGTTTTGTCCCACAGACTTGTCCAAAGTCTACACGGCCTCTGGAGACGGGACGGTGACTCTGCAGAGCTTTGAGGGCCTCCCCAGCTCCGTACTGTTTGGGTCCTCGGACTGTCTCCACCAGAATCACAACGTCTGGTAACAATACAGAGAAAAACAGTCAAAATCTGAAGCTTGATATTCAAATGTAACTGATGCTAACTCTGATGCTAACTCTGATGCTAACTCTGATGCTAACTCTGATGCTAACTCTGATGCTAACTCTGATGCTAACTCTGATGCTAACTCTGATGCTAACTCTGATGCTAACTCTGATGCTAACTCTGATGCTAACTCTGATGCTAACTCTGAGGCTAACTCTGAGGCTAACTCTGAGGCTAACTCTGAGGCTAACTCTGAGGCTAACTCTGAGGCTAACTCTGAGGCTAACTCTGAGGCTAACTCTGAGGCTAACTCTGAGGCTAACTCTGAGGCTAACTCTGAGGCTAACTCTGAGGCTAACTCTGAGGCTAACTCTGAGGCTAACTCTGAGGCTAACTCTGAGGCTAACTCTCTGCAGTTTCTGGTATTGTTGTCTGGATGTGTCCGTGAGCCGTCAGATGTTAGCAACTGGAGACAATGTGGGGAATCTGTTTCTGCTGAGTTTGGACGGACAGAAGGTGAGAAACACTGAAGAGAAACTGCTTTTGTTTTGTGTCTTTTATTTGACTTAAAAGTTGATACAAAATGAGTCATTTTATGAATTATAATAAAACCTTGCATTCTCTGAGCTATAGCTCAAATCCACGATGCCGTCCACGTTAACCAAGTGATGCCAAGGGCTGTCAATCATTACGCTCATTCTCGTATATAATTAGAATATTAAATATATGTATCTATATTTGAACGAATGTGAGGCAGCCCATTGACATTCAAATGTGTTATTGATTGATATTTGTGTTTATTGAGCGTGGCTAGCTCCGATAGCTTCTCTGCACAGACAGTAAGTGACAGGCGCTGAAAGCCCGTTGTGACGAAGTGTGCGAACTACTGTCCAGAGAGTATTTTACACACCTGAACTGTCACTTTGAAATGACATTCAAATCAATGGAGAGTTCTGCTGCTGCTGTGAGGAGCGTGTAATAGAATATGATTCAATATTTGATCACAGCCGACCCCTCTCACCTGCACATGGACTATTCCATCCACTCCCCTCTCACCCTGCACATGGACTATTCCAACCTCTACCCTCTCACCTGCACATGGACTATTCCAACCACTCCCCTCTCACCTGCACATGGACTATTCCAACCACTCCCCTCTCACCTGCACATGGACTATTCCAACCACTCCCCTCTCACCTGCACATGGACTATTCCAACCACTCCCCTCTCACCTGCACATGGACTATTCCAACCACTCCCCTCTCACCCTGCACATGGACTATTCCAACCACTCCCCTCTCACCTGCACATGGACTATTCCAACCACTCCCCTCAGGCAGGAGGCTGCGGTCCATCAGGACTAGAACCTCCCGCCACAAGAACAGTTTCTTCCCCTCTGCTGTTGGACTCTTGAACACTTCTTAACCTGTCCCCTCGCCCTTTATAAAGTCACTTTACTGCCCATCATACGTCACTTTACTTCACTGTACTGCTGTCACCTTACATTGTGTGCACCATGTGCACTTGGATATTGTAAATAGTAACTGTAACTCTATTTTAAATGTAAATGTATTCCTTAGAAGTGTTTTTATTCTTTATTTTTTATTATCTCTTTCTGACTGTTGCACTGAGCCAAAGCAATTTCCAAGTCTGTGACTTCCTGTTACTTATCAGAAAGGAAGGGGGAGGAGCTTGGGTGGTTTTTTTCAAATGATGCACCATGTTTTTCTGACAAACTCGGAACTATCACTTTAACCTTCATGGGCCACAGTGAACCATAGAAAACACACTTCTACAGATGTTTATGAACATTTCTGGACAGTGGTCACTCTCTTTATGGACCAATGGCTTCTGTGTTTGTTATTATTGCATTTCCTTCAACTGTTTGATTCTCTGATCTGCTGTTGGTGAATCGACAACTTTGTAACGTCCTCTGAGACTGTGATATAGGCCGATACACATATTTAATTGAATTGATTATGATTCCCAGTTTCACACAAAGAGTTGATTGAATTAATATAAATTCAATATGTTTTGTCAGAAATTTGAATATAATGATACAAAAAGATTAATAATAATGATTAATTTTTATTTTTTATTTTTTTTTTGTTTAATCTTTTTCTTTGCATCATAATTTTTGTCTTGTTATGTTTTTGAACTGTTACATTTTGACCAATCAAACTCTAAAGGCAAAAAATTTCCTTAATTCAGATTCAGTTTATTTGCAATTTGCAGTAAAAAAAAACACATTGGAATACATTGGCAAAAGTCTCCAGTGTGCACAGACAAATACAGACATAAAACAACATTAAAAGACAAAAATAAAACAAATAAAACAGTAAACAAATGTTACTGTGAAATCGATCGACTAAAACAGTTTCAAAACAAGTGCAAATCATTAAAGTGCTCTGTTCACACTGATAACAGCCTGTGGATAAAAACTGTTAGCGTAACGAGATGTCCTGCATCTCAGAGAGCGATATCTTCTGCCAGAGGGAAGAAGCTGGAACATGGCTTTCCCAGGGTGGCCAGAAGAGTCATTAACAATCCTAAGAGCTTTGTTTAAAAGTCTGGATTTATAAAGAACCTCCAGAACAGGAAGCTAATTGTCTATGATTGTCCTATTGTCCTATGATTTGCTGTTGGCCATAAAAACCTAAATGAAACTCAGAACAATGTCATTGCTGTAGATTTTTGGAGAGAAACTGCACAAGGCCAAAGTGACGCATGCCGAGTTCAACCCGCGCTGTGATTGGCTGATGGCGACCTCGTCCGTGGACCACACCGTCAAACTGTGGGACCTCAGGAACCTCAAAGACAAATCCAGCTTCCTCCACGACCTCCCACACGAGAAGGCTGTCAACGCAGGTACCACAGGAGCTTCAAATCACTAGCTTTAGCATAATAAAGAAGCTAGTCTAAAATCTCTAGCTTTAACATAATAAAGAAGCTAGTCTAAAATCTCTAGCTTTAGCATAATAAAGAAGCTAGTATAAAATCTCTATCTTTAGCATAATAAAGAAGCTAGTATAAAATCTCTAGCTTTACCATAATAAAGAAGCTAGTATAAAATCTCTAGCTTTAGCATAATAAAGAAGCTAGTATAAAATCTCTCGCTTTACCATAATAAAGAAGCTCGTATAAAATCTCTAGCTTTAGCATAATACTAGCCTGGTCTTATCCATCCGTACACTCCGCTCAATCATTTCCTGCATGTAAACGTCTGGGTCTGGTCCCTGTGTTTCCGATTACAATCAGTTAAATTCCATTCCAACCAATCAGAGAGAGCGGGAGGCGGGTGTTGTAGTTAGTTGTGGGTGACGTCAGGAGTTTGCGTCGAACGGGCAGGTTGTAGTTTGGCAAAGAATGCGATAGTAAAGTATTCTGGTCTGGTTCTATCAAGAAACTGAAGCAATAGAAATGTTTAGCAAAAGTCATTGCTGGCAAAAATTGTGGCGCTACTCCCCACGGGCTCCGTTAGCGGTAAAGAAGATGGCTAGGCTACATGCTAAAGCTAGGCTAAATGCTATGTTTTTACATTTGGAGCAACTGTAAAATTTACACAGAGTGGCTTTAAAGTTTGCTTGTATCACCTTTTACACCGGCACTTCCACCAATGAAAACAGCCGCGTTAGCATGTTAGCATGTTAAGAATTACCTTTTTTCACTACCATTTTGCATTTTTTATTCCTTTCAGTAGCACTTTCTAACAAACAAATGTATATTTCGGATATATTATTTTCTATAAGGTTGTCTGTTGACGGTTGTAAATAAAACTGCTTCAGATCAAAATAAGCTCATTCCGTTGCATTTAAAACCGGAACTTCTTTTGGGCCACTAATGTGATTCTCACATTTATGTTTTGTGTCTCAGCGTTCTTTAACCCGGTGGACTGCTCGAAGCTGCTGACCACAGACCAGTTTGACCAAATCCGGATTTACGCCTCGTCTGATTGGACGACGCCTCAACATGTGATCCAGCATCCGCACCGACAGTTCCAGCACCTCACTCCCATCAAGGTCTGAGTTTCTGTTTTATCACCTTCATGTGGAAAAACATCAGCGAGAGATGTTTATACATGTGTTTATAAATGTGTTTATACATGTGTTTATACATGTGTTTATAAATGTGTTTATACATGTGTTTATACATGTGTTTATACATGTGTTTATACATGTGTTTATACATGTGTTTATACATGTGTTTATACATGTGTTTATACATGTGTTTATACATGTGTTTATACATGTGTTTATACATGTGTTTATAATGTGTTTATACACGTGTTTATACATGTGTTTATACATGTGTTTATACATGTGTTTATAAATGTGTTTATACATGTGTTTATACATGTGTTTATACATGTGTTTATACATGTGTTTATACATGTGTTTATACATGTGTTTATACATGTGTTTATACATGTGTTTATACATGTGTTTATAATGTTTATACATGTGTTTATGCATGTGTTTATAATGTTTATACATGTGTTTATAATGTTTATAAATGTGTTTATACATGTGTTTATACATGTGTTTATAAATGTGTTTATAAATGTGTTTATAATGTTTATACATGTGTTTATGCATGTGTTTATAATGTTTATACATGTGTTTATAATGTTTATAAATGTGTTTATACATGTGTTTATAATGTTTATAATGTTTATAAATGTGTTTATACATGTGTTTATACATGTGTTTATACTGAACCAAATCTGGACCAAATATTAAAAATAACGATTGGCTTGCCAGAGCTTGTCAGACCTCTGAAGCTAATTAGGGCAGGGCCTGGCAGGACCTCTGGGAACACCAGGAGCCACATTGGGGCGGCTGTGGCTGTAAAGTGCCAAACTGTGGTTGTGTCCTTAGGCAAGACACTTCCCCCACATTAGAATGAGTCTGGTGTGTGTGTGAGAATGGTTGGTGGTGGTGGGAGGGGCCGATGGCACAGACTGGTTGCCTCGCTTCTGTCAGTGTGCCCCAGGGCAGCTGTGGCTACAGTAGTAGTTTATCACCACCGTGTTTGGAGTGAATGAATAATGATGTGAAGTGTCTAAAAAGTGCTGTATTTAACTGATTTATTATTAATAAATAATCATTGGACATTTATGGGCCGCAAATAATTGTCCCACGGTCCGGATTTGTCTCTCGGGCCTGAGTTTGCCTGCTCTAGGGGTTTGTATTATGGGGGTTTGGATGAGGGTTAAACTAAGGCTCTAACTGTAATAGTTCCTCAGGCGACATGGCACCCCACCTATGACCTGGTGGTCGCGGGTCGATACCCGGACGCTCGAGTTTGTCCCGGAGACTTGAGGACCATCGACATCTACGACTCCAACTCTGCAGAGCTGGTGTTTCAGCTGCAGGACCCGTCTGTCCCCGGGATCAAGTCTGTGAGTGAGAACTTAGACACACAGAGAGCAGGAAGTCAAAGCCGATAACCTTCTGTGCATCTGCAGGTCAACAAGTTCAACCCAGTGGGAGACGTCGTTGGGTCTGGGATGGGTAAGTCCTTTAACTCTTATCTCTCTCTGGTCTCTCTGAGGTCTCTCTCTGGTCTCTCTCTGGTCTCTCTCTGGTCTCTCTCTGGTCTCTCTCTGGTCTCTCTCTGGCCTCCCTCTCAAGTCTGTCTCTAGTCCCTATTCCTGGTCTCTCTCTCTCTGGTCCCTCTCTCTGGTCTCTCTGGTCTCTCAGGTCACTCTCATGTCTCTTTTTCTGGTCTCTGTCTCTGGCCTCGCTCTCTGGTCTCGCTCTCTGGTCTCGCTTTCTGGTCTCGCTCTCTGGTCTCGCTCTCTGGTCTCGCTCTCTGGTCTCGCTCTCTGGTCTCGCTCTCTGGTCTCGCTCTCTGGTCTCGCTCTCTGGTCTCGCTCTCTGGTCTCGCTCTCTGGTCTCGCTCTCTGGTCTCGCTCTCTGGTCTCGCTCTCTGGTCTCGCTCTCTGGTCTCGCTCTCTGGTCTCGCTCTCAGGTCTCTCTCAGGTCTCTCTTTCTGGTCTCTCTCAGGTCAGACTCATTTCGCTTTCTCTTTGGTCTCTCTCTGGTCTCTGTCTCTGGGGCCAGTACTCTCCTGAAAAAGAGATTCTGGGTTAAATAAATCTCAATTAAAACAATATATAATTACATGTCACTGTGTTGTGAATGGTTTTGTGCCTGACGTGTGTGTCCAGGTTCCACGGTGCTGATCTGGGACCGGGACGAGGCTCTGGTCAGCGATCGACACAAACAAACAGAGGAAAGTTCTGCTCCCGTGGATTTACTGAGAGGACGGCGGCGGGCGCAGCCTCGCTCCCGGGACAGAGCGCCCCCTATGGACAAACACTTGGTGAAGAAACTGCTGTCTCTGGAGGAAGCTCAGACCAAAACCAAGAGTAAACGGAAGTAAACGGAATAATCTGTGTTGGTTTGATAATGTCGTCTTTTATAAACTTTGTATAGTTGTTGTTTTTGTACAGTTCCAATAAAATTAACTTTTTTGCATTTTCTTGTTTGTGGACCAGTAATACAAGCACAAAACTACTATATGTACACGTATTACATGTACATTAATCTTAATCACATTAAATGTACACACAATATATTTGTATGTATTTGTAATTTGCCCTTGGAATCATATTACATACATATGTATTGTCTTCACATTTGGGCAACAGAAGAGAACGAAGACGGTTTTACATCAAGACATGAAGCTTCTGATAATGAGCTTGACATTCTCTAAAACTTTAGCATAAATAAGAAGCATAAAATCTCTAGCTTTAGCATAAACTTTCCATTACGTTAGCTGTGTCCTAATTATAGGAGGTGGGGAACAAGACTCACAGGACATTGTTTACACGAAGATTCACAGGATTCTGAAACGACTATAAACTCCACAACAGAAAAATTCCAAAATAACTTTTTTCTTTCACTGCTTTTTATAAAAATGATTCATACCCTAATATTGGTTAATATAATTCAAATACGGGCGACAGTAGCTCAGTTGGTAGAGCATTGGCCTTTGGGCCTGAAGGTCGTGGGTTCGAGCCCACCGTAAAACCTACTTCACGACTCCCACTGATGACTGCTGTCGTTGTGTCCTTGGGCAAGACACTTAACCCTACTTTGCCCAAAGCTCCTTCTGAAAGATCTCAGCTCCTGTGGACTCAGCACCTGCAGGAGGATCAGTGAGGGGCTGGTGCTCTGTGAACTGGGTGCAGCTCTGACTGCCACCTTCCCGACCCAGAAATGGATTAAGGGGAAGAAAATGGATGGATGGATGGATGGATAATTCAAATACAACACTAAATGCTAACTGATGCTAGTAAAGAGTGTGTTGCTATGGTAACCAGCACGAGAAGTTGAGATTGCTCTGACCATGGATCTAGGCTCTGACCCAGTCAAGGATCGAGATAATAATTTCATAAAAATAATGACAGAAGTAAACTACACAGACACAGAAAAGTCACACAAAGTTATGAAGACCAAAAATGTACATAAACGGAGTAAATTCAGTCCTCCGTCTGTCTCATACAGTCTCATGCCTGCAGCTAGCATGCTAAGCTAACATGAGGCTAACATACTGGGGCTCTGTTGGATATTGTCACTTCAAAAATGAAAAGCCGTCAAATGGACTGCTCTGGGCGTTCGGGTGTTGACATATTTGATTCACAGTTCCCCCTCCTCCGCAGCAGGGGGCGGCCATGCAGCACCTACGTTGTTCTTCAGTCACCAGTGAAAATCTCAAGAAGAATTTTGTGCATACGCAAAGTTTGTTTTCTTCCGGTTTCCTGAGCAGCTGCTGTGAATGAAAACGTGGAGAAGAGCAGGTAATGATCGCTGTGTTTGTCTGAACGATGTTTCTGATCAGAGACACAGTCCTCCATCTGTCACGTGTCTGCAGCTAGCATGCTAAGCTAACATGAGGCTGAAACACTGGGGCTAGCATAACATCTGCTCTGTGAGATTCTGTCATTGCATTTTTCTACATAAGAATTGATTTTCTTATTCACTATTCATTGTTACTGCAGGTTCACTGTTGCACGTTTACAATACTTAAATACTATGCGTTATAGAATAGTAATTACACATGCAAGAGAAGGCAAGTTTAGTAGTATAGCACAGTTCTTACACAAGGAAACTCAGAGGAACAGTCTCATTAAAGACATAAATAATCATTGTGCATTAAAATAGTAAAGATAAAATCCTTCAGTTGTTGCAGAAACAGAGCTGTTTTAAACTGGATTTGAACATTGTCAGAGAAGAAGCCTGTCTCACATTTTCCGGAAGTTCCACATTTTAGCTGTGTGAATCTGAAACGCTGCCTCCTCCATGTTTAGTCTTGACTCTGGGACCAGCAGGAGGCCAGTCCCTGTGCTCCTCAGAGTCCCAGCAGGAGGCCAGTCCCTGTGCTCCTCAGAGTCCCAGCAGGAGGCCAGTCCCTGTGCTCCTCAGAGACCCAGCAGGAGGCCAGTCCCTGTGCTCCTCAGAGTCCCAGCAGGAGGACAGTCCCTGTGCTCCTCAGAGTCCCAGCAGGAGGCCAGTCCCTGTGCTCCTCAGAGTCCCAGCAGGAGGCCAGTCCCTGTGTCATTGAATATTGAGGCCATGGAGAGACTTGTAACAACCAGAGCTGCTTTAAAGTCTATTCTTTAGTAGTAGTATATAGCAGTAAATACACATCAAGTTAAGTTCAAGTAAACATAATTTCTTACAGTTTCAAACAATATTCATAACTCATAACCTGTCCTCCCGCCCTTTATAAGTCACCTTACGGCCCCACCTTGCCTCGCTTCTGTCAGTGTGCCCCAGGGCAGCTGTGGCTACAGTAGTAGTTTATCACCACCGTGTTTGGAGTGAAAGAATAATGACATGTAAAGAGTCTTTGAGTGTCCAAAAAAGCGCTGTATAAAACTAATGCATTATTATTATTATTATTATTACACTGACCCATTGGAAACTAGGATAAGCAGGATTATTAGATCAAGTGACATTCAGTGGACATTCTGAAATTGCACCTTCAGTATTGTCTATTTACAGATTAAAGACATGTACACACTCAGCAGTTCTTATTGTACAGTCTGACAGCCGCAGAACGGAAAGAGCTACAAAACTCTGTTTCACACAGCGAGGGTGAATAAGTCTGTCACTGAAGCTACTCTCCAGAGCAGCCAGAGTGTCCTGCAGGGGGCGACAGATAGACAGGTGATAGAGAAACATGTCTTACTCACCTGTGTTCCTCCAGCAGACATGGAGTCCGTAGAGGAGGTGGCTCTGGGCGTGGGGGCCGCAGTGGGGGAGGAGAACTACTTCCTGGGCTACACCTTCACCGACCGCTCTCACTCCAGCCGCGTGGTCAAGAACATCATGGACCTGTGTCTGGAGGACGGCCTGTTTGCGGACGTGACCATCCTCGTGGACGGGAGAGAGTTCCAGCTTCACCGCCTCGTCCTCTCTGCTCAGAGCACCTTCTTTAGATCCATGTTCACCTCCAACCTGCGAGAGTCCCACGACCGCACCATCGAGCTGAAGGACGTGAGCGCCCGCGTCTTCCAGCTGCTGGTGGACTACATCTACCACGGCTCCATCCGCCTGCGCGTTGACGACCTCCAGGACACGTACGAGATGGCCGACATGTACCAGCTCACGGCGCTGTTCGAGGAGTGCTCCAGGTTCCTGTCGCGCACCGTGGAGGTCAAGAACTGTCTGCAGGTTTGTAGCTGGCTCCAAACTAAACTGTACCTATGTCTGGGGCCGCTACAGTTGAGTGTTCACAGACTCTTGTTATCTTCCTTGTTTGTCCAGTAGAGGACGCACTACTAAACACAGATTCACTCACGCTGTACTATTAACAAAGCTCCACGACAGACGTTTTGGACGTAACAAAAGGGAACACGATTGTTACGTCCTGTTCTGGCCGCCCGTGTGGACACGGGCGGCACGGTGGCTGAGTGGATAGTACTCTCGCCTTTCAGCAAGAAGGTCCTGGGTTCGAATCCTGGCCGGACCAGGGCCTTTCTGAATGGAGTTTGCATGTTCTCCCCGTGTCTGCGTAGGTTTCCTCCGGGTACTCCGGTTTCCCCTACCACTAAAAATATGTACAATAGGTCTGGCATGCGCCTCCTGTTCGGCGACCCCGCTCCCATCTCTGTGTGGAGTGAGAGACAAGTGCCCAAAAAATAACAATTGTAAACCGCTTTGTGACTCTGGTCTGTGAAAGGCGGTATATAAATAAAGCTTACTTACTTACTTACTTACTTACGTCCAAAACGCCCAGTTTGTCTGCAGGATCCCTGTGGCGGCGGGTCCTGTGGGGGTGGGTCCTGTGGGGGTGGGTCCAGCAGGGGGCAGGTCCTGTGGGGGTGGGTTCAGTGGGGGCAGGTCCTGTGGGGGTGGGTTCAGCGGGGGGTGGGTCCAGCGGGGGGCGGGTCCAGCGGGGGGCGGGTCCAGCGGGGGGCGGGTCCTGTGGAGGCGGGTCCTGTGGGGGCGGGTCCTGTGGGGGCGGGTCCTGTGGGGGTGGGTCCTGTGGGGGTGGGTCTTGTGGGGGTGGATCCTGTGGCGGTGGGTCCCGGCTCATAAGGGTCCGTGAGCTTGTGCGCATATATGCCTGTAATCTGACTGTGGTAGTGTACAGGAAACAGAATTATCCAATGAATTCTTATGGCGCCTACTTTCCTCTCGACAATATCTTTTACAGGATGGTTCAAAAGTCAGTCTTGGCTCAACGCTATGTTCCAGATGCTGTCCATGATGAGGGGGGATTGTTTTTGTTTGTCCGCTGTGGACTTTTGAATGAACATGTTTTTTCAGTCGTGTGTCAGGCTCGTGCAGCTAACACATTAGCGAGTGATACAGTAATTAGTAATGTGTGTGTTTGTGATCAGGTGATGTGGCTGGCGGACCGACACAGTGACCAGGAGCTATACACTGCAGCAAAGCATTGTGCCAAGATCCACCTGGTCCAGCTGCACCAGACCGAGGAGTTCGCTAACCTCCCGCTCTGCCTCCTGCTGGACATTATCAAAGGTAACATCTACATTAACACATGCCTGTTTAAGGTTATATCTAGTTATTATTATTGATTCTTTCTGAAATCTACTGTTCAGACGGAGTCCCCAGCTCCCAGAATCCCACTGTGGCCATCGAGTCCTGGATCAACCACAACAAAGTGGAGAGAGAGGAGTTCTCTTCTGTCCTGAGAGAGAACCTGAAGGAGATCGGGGAGAAGGTGCACATCTATCTGATCGGGAAAGAGGAGAGCAGGACGCACTCTGTGGCCGTGTCTCTGCACTGTGACCAGGACGACGCCATCAGTGTGAGCGGCCAGAACAGTCTGTGTCACCAGATCACGGCGGCCTGCAAACACGGGGGGGACCTGTACGTGGTGGGGGGCTCCATCCCTCGCCGCATGTGGAAGTGTAACATGCACACCATGGACTGGGAGCGCTGCGCCCCGCTGCCCCGCGACCGTCTGCACCACACCATGGTGTCTCTGCTCAGCGATGACGTCATCTACTCTCTGGGAGGAAAGACTCTGCAGGACACTCTGTCCAACGCCGTCATCTACTACACGGTGAAGGACAACATGTGGACAGAGACCAGCGCCCTGGACACCGCCGTGTCGGGCTCTGCGGGCGTGAACCTGGGGGGAACCATCTACCTGCTGGGCGGCGAGGAGAACGACATGGACTTCTTTACAAAACCCTCGCGCCTGATCCAGTGCTTTGACACGGTGACTCAGAAGTGTCAGATCAAAGCCTACGTGCTGCCGTTCGCCGGCTGTATGCACGCCGCGGTGCACATGGACGTGATCTTTGTGGTGGCGGAGGGAGACTCTATCGTCTGCTACAACCCTCTGTTAGAGAGCTTCACTCGCCTGCGCTTCCCTGAGGTCTGGAGCTGCGTGCCCTCACTCTGGAAGGTGGCCAGCTGCAACGGCTGCATTTACGTGTTCAGAGACAAGTGTAAGAAAGGAGACGCAAACACCTTAAAGTTCAACCCTGCCACGTCTGTAGTGACTGTCATCAGAGGAATCAAGATCCTACTCACCAACTGGCAGTTTGTTCTTGGCTGAAGCACCTCCGTCTGCAGAGACAGAGAGAGAGAGACAAGACAGAGAGGCAGAGAGAGAGAGCGAGAGACCGAGAGATGGAGGCAGAGACAGAGAGACAAAGAGACGGAGGCAGAGACAGAGAGAGAGAGACAGAGAGACAAAGAGACGGAGGCAGAGACAGAGAGAGAGAGACAGAGACAAAGAGATGGAGGCAGAGACAGAGAGAGAGAGAGACAGAGACAAAGAGATGGAGGCAGAGAGACGGAGAGAGAGACAGAGACAGAGAGAGAGAAAGAGGCAGAGAGAGAGAGACAGAGAGAGAGATGGAGGCAGAGAGAGAGACAGAGGCAGAGAGAGAGAGACGAGAGACAGAGAGAGAGATGGAGGCAGAGAGAGACAGAGGCAGAGAGACGGAGAGAGAGACAGAGGCAGAGAGAGAGACAGACAGAGAGAGAGACAGAGGCAGAGAGAGAGACAGACAGAGAGAGAGGCAGAGAGAGAGATGGAGGCAGACCTTCAGACAGACTGTGGTCAGACTCCAGGCACTGAGACTGTTTCTAAAGTCAATGTTTTATTGTTTACAATCTGCTGACATCACATGACCAGTGTTTACTTTAATACTCTCCAAAGGTTCATCTGTGAATAAAGCAGAAACCCACATGGTGTCACAGTATTACGATGGTCCGTGTTTCTGGTCCTTCTACATAAACATAAACTGTCACAGATGTTGCATATTTCAGTTTTGGATTTGATTCAGAGTCAACGCAAAGAGTCGCCCTCGAGGTGAAGGAGAGAAACCCAAGACAAGGAACATGTCCGACTGTGAGAACTATTCTGAGCTGTGTGTGTGTCTCTGTGGGAGTGGTGTGTGTGTCTATGCGTGCGTGCGTGCGCGTGTCTGTGTGTGCGCGCGTGTGTGTTTCTGTCTGTGCGTCTTTCTATGTGTGTGAGCGTGCCTGTGTGAGTGTGTCTGTCTGTGTGCGCGCGGGCCTGTGTGTGCGTCTGTCTCTCTGTGTCTCTGTGCTTGTGTGTGTCTCTGTGCCTGTGTGTGTGTCTCTGTCTCTGTATGTGTGTGTGCGTCTCGGTCTCTGTGTATGTGTCTCTCTTCCTGTGTGGTGCTTCTTTCATCAGTGGAGCTCAGTAGAGTACTCGAGTACCTGGTTGTAGTGACCTTGGTAGTACTGCTGAGGGCAGGACAGATTCCAGAGGGGACACATGGTCCTGAGTGACAGCAGCAGGAGGAGGGAGGGGGGGAGATTCCTCTGTCAGGGGTGTGGGGATTCTGCATCTATTCTAGCATAGCACACTAGCTAGCACTTTGTGGGAAAACGGATTCTTTGGCGTTTTTTCAGAGCAGGTTAGAGCTCTGTGGATAGATCTTTGCTGCAGGATTAACCCTGAGTCTTGCATCAGTCGCTGTGACTCTCCACCTGGACCAGAGGGAGACCAGAGAGAGACCAGAGCGAGACCAGAGGGAGAATGGGTGCTGGTCCCTGTGGCTCTGTGCTGTGCAGCTGAGAGGGGCCTTCTCTGAGCCGCAGGATCCCAGTCCTGCTGCCTCTCGGACGGTGCATGGCCTAAACCAATGATTACTGTACTTTGATGAGGAAGCTGGCAGCAGAGATGGGCCAGGACCAGACCAAGCAGCAGATCGAGAAAGGCCTGAAGCTCTACCAGTCCAACCAGACGGACCGAGCTCTGCACGTGTGGACCAGGGTCCTGGAGAAGACCTCAGATCCTGGAGGAAAGTTCCGGGTCCTGGGCTGTCTGATCACGGCTCACTCTGAGATGGGCAAATACAAAGACATGCTGAAGGTAAGACACCAGGTGGGACCAGCAGACACCAGGAGACACTAGGAGAGACTGAGACACCACAAGACATCAGGAGACAGTGACACTATGAGACACCAGGAGACATTGTGAGAGACCATGAGACACCAGGAGACATTGTGAGAGACCGTGAGACACCAGGGGAGACTGAGACACCACGAGAGACCATGAGACACCAGGGGAGACTGAGAGACCATGAGACACCAGGGGAGACTGAGAGACCATGAGACACCAGGAGACACTGTAAGACAATAAGAGACTGAGACACCAAGAGAGACACTGAGACATCAGGGGATACTATGAGACACCATGAGACCCAGTACCATGTGTGATGATGATGTACCAGGCTGTATTTTGTGAAGGTCTGATGTTTGCTGGTGCAGATCCTTCTGTGGCATGTGTGAGACGCAGAGTAAATGTCCTGAAACCTGAGACAGAGTGAGCGATCCTGTTGACATAATCATCTTTACTCCCACAGTGTCCCGGACTCAGACCTCAGAGTGTAAATGTGAAACTAACTCGGATTTAAATATATGTTGGTCTATTGTCTGTTACAGTCTATGGTCTGTTACAGTCTATGGTCTGTTACAGTCTGGTCTGTTACAGTCTATCTATGGTCTGTTACAGTCTGTGGTCTGTTACAGTCTATGGTCTGTTACAGTCTATGGTCTGTTACAGTCTGTGGTCTGTTACAGTCTATGGTCTGTTACAGTCTGTGGTCTGTTACAGTCTGTGGTCTGTTACAGTCTATGGTCTGTTACAGTCTATGGTCTGTTACAGTCTATGGTCTGTTACAGTCTATGGTCTGTTACAGTCTGTGGTCTGTTACAGTCTATGGTCTGTTACAGTCTGTGGTCTGTTACAGTCTGTGGTCTGTTACAGTCTATGGTCTGTTACAGTCTATGGTCTGTTACAGTCTGTGGTCTGTTACAGTCTATGGTCTGTTACAGTCTGTGGTCTGTTACAGTCTGGTCTGTTACAGTCTATGGTCTGTTACAGTCTGTGGTCTGTTACAGTCTGTGGTCTGTTACAGTCTATGGTCTGTTACAGTCTGTGGTCTGTTACAGTCTGTGGTCTGTTACAGTCTGTGGTCTGTTACAGTCTGTGGTCTGTTACAGTCTGGTCTGTTACAGTCTGTGGTCTGTTACAGTCTGTGGTATGTTACAGTCTGTGGTCTGTTACAGTCTATGGTCTGTTACAGTCTGTGGTCTGTTACAGTCTGGTCTGTTACAGTCTATGGTCTGTTACAGTCTGTGGTCTGTTACAGTCTGTGGTCTGTTACAGTCTGGTCTGTTACAGTCTGTGGTCTGTTACAGTCTATGGTCTGTTACAGTCTGGTCTGTTACAGTCTATGGTCTGTTACAGTCTATGGTCTGTTACAGTCTGTGGTCTGTTACAGTCTGTGGTCTGTTACAGTCTATGGTCTGTTACAGTCTGTGGTCTGTTACAGTCTGGTCTGTTACAGTCTGTGGTCTGTTACAGTCTGTGGTCTGTTACAGTCTATGGTCTGTTACAGTCTATGGTCTGTTACAGTCTGTGGTCTGTTACAGTCTGTGGTCTGTTACAGTCTATGGTCTGTTACAGTCTATGGTCTGTTACAGTCTGGTCTGTTACAGTCTATGGTCTGTTACAGTCTATGGTCTGTTACAGTCTATGGTCTGTTACAGTCTGTGGTCTGTTACAGTCTGTGATCTGTTACAGTCTGGTCTGTTACAGTCTATGGTCTGTTACAGTCTATGGTCTGTTACAGTCTATGGTCTGTTACAGTCTGGTCTGTTACAGTCTGGTCTGTTACAGTCTGGTCTGTTACAGTCTGTGGTCTGTTACAGTCTATGGTCTGTTACAGTCTATGGTCTGTTACAGTCTGGTCTGTTACAGTCTATGGTCTGTTACAGTCTATGGTCTGTTACAGTCTGTGGTCTGTTACAGTCTATGGTCTGTTACAGTCTATGGTCTGTTACAGTCTGGTCTGTTACAGTCTATGGTCTGTTACAGTCTGGTCTGTTACAGTCTATGGTCTGTTACAGTCTGGTCTGTTACAGTCTGTGGTCTGTTACAGTCTGTGGTCTGTTACAGTCTATGGTCTGTTACAGTCTATGGTCTGTTACAGTCTGTGGTCTGTTACAGTCTGTGGTCTGTTACAGTCTATGGTCTGTTACAGTCTGTGGTCTGTTACAGTCTATGGTCTGTTACAGTCTGTGGTCTGTTACAGTCTATGGTCTGTTACAGTCTATGGTCTGTTACAGTCTATGGTCTGTTACAGTCTATGGTCTGTTACAGTCTGGTCTGTTACAGTCTATGGTCTGTTACAGTCTGTGGTCTGTTACAGTCTATGGTCTGTTACAGTCTATGGTCTGTTACAGTCTGGTCTGTTACAGTCTGTGGTCTGTTACAGTCTGTGGTCTGTTACAGTCTATGGTCTGTTACAGTCTATGGTCTGTTACAGTCTATGGTCTGTTACAGTCTGGTCTGTTACAGTCTATGGTCTGTTACAGTCTGGTCTGTTACAGTCTATGGTCTGTTACAGTCTGGTCTGTTACAGTCTATGGTCTGTTACAGTCTGGTCTGTTACAGTCTATGGTCTGTTACAGTCTATGGTCTGTTACAGTCTATGGTCTGTTACAGTCTGGTCTGTTACAGTCTATGGTCTGTTACAGTCTATGGTCTGTTACAGTCTATGGTCTGTTACAGTCTGTGGTCTGTTACAGTCTGGTCTGTTACAGTCTATGGTCTGTTACAGTCTGTGGTCTGTTACAGTCTATGGTCTGTTACAGTCTGGTCTGTAGGTCTATGGTCTGTTACAGTCTATGGTCTGTTACAGTCTATGGTCTGTTACAGTCTGGTCTGTTACAGTCTATGGTCTGTTACAGTCTGTGGTCTGTTACAGTCTATGGTCTGTTACAGTCTATGGTCTGTTACAGTCTGTGGTCTGTTACAGTCTGTGGTCTGTTACAGTCTATGGTCTGTTACAGTCTGTGGTCTGTTACAGTCTGGTCTGTAGGTCTATGGTCTGTTACAGTCTATGGTCTGTTACAGTCTATGGTCTGTTACAGTCTGTGGTCTGTTACAGTCTGGTCTGTTACAGTCTGGTCTGTTACAGTCTATGGTCTGTTACAGTCTGTGGTCTGTTACAGTCTGGTCTGTTACAGTCTGGTCTGTAGGTCTATGGTCTGTTACAGTCTGTGGTCTGTTACAGTCTATGGTCTGTTACAGTCTGGTCTGTTACAGTCTATGGTCTGTTACAGTCTATGGTCTGTTACAGTCTGTGGTCTGTTACAGTCTATGGTCTGTTACAGTCTATGGTCTGTTACAGTCTGGTCTGTTACAGTCTATGGTCTGTTACAGTCTATGGTCTGTTACAGTCTGTGGTCTGTTACAGTCTGTGGTCTGTTACAGTCTGTGGTCTGTTACAGTCTGGTCTGTTACAGTCTATGGTCTGTTACAGTCTGTGGTCTGTTACAGTCTATGGTCTGTTACAGTCTATGGTCTGTTACAGTCTGTGGTCTGTTACAGTCTGTGGTCTGTTACAGTCTGTGGTCTGTTACAGTCTGGTCTGTTACAGTCTATGGTCTGTTACAGTCTGTGGTCTGTTACAGTCTATGGTCTGTTACAGTCTATGGTCTGTTACAGTCTGTGGTCTGTTACAGTCTGGTCTGTTACAGTCTGGTCTGTTACAGTCTATGGTCTGTTACAGTCTGTGGTCTGTTACAGTCTGGTCTGTTACAGTCTGGTCTGTAGGTCTATGGTCTGTTACAGTCTGTGGTCTGTTACAGTCTATGGTCTGTTACAGTCTGGTCTGTTACAGTCTATGGTCTGTTACAGTCTATGGTCTGTTACAGTCTGTGGTCTGTTACAGTCTGTGGTCTGTTACAGTCTGGTCTGTAGGTCTATGGTCTGTTACAGTCTGTGGTCTGTTACAGTCTATGGTCTGTTACAGTCTATGGTCTGTTACAGTCTATGGTCTGTTACAGTCTGTGGTCTGTTACAGTCTATGGTCTGTTACAGTCTATGGTCTGTTACAGTCTGGTCTGTTACAGTCTATGGTCTGTTACAGTCTATGGTCTGTTACAGTCTGTGGTCTGTTACAGTCTGTGGTCTGTTACAGTCTATGGTCTGTTACAGTCTGGTCTGTTACAGTCTATGGTCTGTTACAGTCTGTGGTCTGTTACAGTCTATGGTCTGTTACAGTCTATGGTCTGTTACAGTCTGTGGTCTGTTACAGTCTGTGGTCTGTTACAGTCTGGTCTGTTACAGTCTGTGGTCTGTTACAGTCTGTGGTCTGTTAGTCTGTGGTCTGTTACAGTCTGTGGTCTGTTACAGTCTGTGGTCTGTTACAGTCTATGGTCTGTTACAGTCTGTGGTCTGTTACAGTCTGTGGTCTGTTACAGTCTGTGGTCTGTTACAGTCTGGTCTGTTACAGTCTATGGTCTGTTACAGTCTGTGGTCTGTTACAGTCTATGGTCTGTTACAGTCTGTGGTCTGTTACAGTCTATGGTCTGTTACAGTCTGGTCTGTTACAGTCTGTGGTCTGTTACAGTCTATGGTCTGTTACAGTCTATGGTCTGTTACAGTCTGTGGTCTGTTACAGTCTATGGTCTGTTACAGTCTATGGTCTGTTACAGTCTGGTCTGTTACAGTCTGGTCTGTTACAGTCTGTGGTCTGTTACAGTCTGGTCTGTTACAGTCTATGGTCTGTTACAGTCTATGGTCTGTTACAGTCTGTGGTCTGTTACAGTCTATGGTCTGTTACAGTCTATGGTCTGTTACAGTCTATGGTCTGTTACAGTCTATGGTCTGTTACAGTCTATGGTCTGTTACAGTCTGTGGTCTGTTACAGTCTATGGTCTGTTACAGTCTATGGTCTGTTACAGTCTGTGGTCTGTTACAGTCTATGGTCTGTTACAGTCTATGGTCTGTTACAGTCTGTGGTCTGTTACAGTCTATGGTCTGTTACAGTCTGGTCTGTTACAGTCTGTGGTCTGTTA